TACTTAAGCCTTGCGCTATTTAAAACGCTGTGTAGTACAAAACTAAGCATCTTAGGGACAAAGGGCAACTATACACGAAATTGTGTGTACTGTTGCATATAAACTTGTGACTAGAGTGTTTATATGTGAAACTATCACAATTATTTATATTGAAAGTAAGAGGAAAGTCATGTATTGTTAAGAAGCTTAATTCAAAATACTATTGAAAAAATGTTAATTTGTCAGTAGTTGATGTGAGTTGTTTTATCAGTTTTATTATAAAGACATAGCCACGACCTCAGAGCATTTTCTTTCTTTTATCATCTTTGAGGATATAAATGGACAAAGCAATCACTCCTACACAGACTATCCCATTAAGTACAATAGCGAGAAGAAGAATGCGTACTTCTCGAGAGGAAATGGCCATCTTGGATGAATTTTATCGGAAAAATCCCAATCCAAACCAAGAAGAAAAAAAAGAGATAGCCAAGATCGTTCATATGGGTCCCAAGAACGTTCACTTTTGGTACGATCATACACTCGGACATGGGCTTGACCTAACGTATCAATAGGTTCCAAAACAGAAGAGCAAAGGATAACAGAAAAAAGAAAGCCCTTCAACAACAGTCAGGTCAACCTAAAGGTAGCCCTCTCAAAAAATAAAGATATCCATGTTTACTAACCAAAAAGAAATAGTTCAGCAGCCTTCGCCCTCGTCTTCTCGCTCAAAGGAGCACTTTTTACGAAGCTCTACAAACATCAACAACGTCGGCAAGCGGCCTTTGGATAACCCTGCAACCGAAGCTTTGCAACTGCCGCCCATTTCTGATCTCATAATTACTCCTGTTCGTGATCTTGATATCCCTTTCTACTTTTATCATTCAACGTTTGGTATCGAAGAGAGTCTGGTGCAATGGACTAAGGGAAGAGAAAATAAGCCTTCAAATTAACTAGTTTGGCTATGAATCAATAAATAATATTATTGCTGTTTCCTAGTGCTTTTAATAAAGGATTTCTTGTCTTTTTTTTCTTTTTTATTTTAAATCGATTCACAAGCTTCAGAGAAATATCTCAATCGCACTTGAGATGTTTTGTTTTACAAGTTTTCTATATTAATACTCATGTTTATTTAGCTTATTTTCTACCACACAAAGCATGAATATACTACTTGGAGCCTGGATATCACTATTTTCCTCACAAAATAAATACACTTCTTTTTCTACACAAGATGTAAGATTCAATTCATAAAAGCAGCAATGACCAAATGATTGAACACTTAAGATGGAGAATTCCGTAAATCAGTTAGGATAACTGGCCTAAATAAACAACTTTGCGTTGGATGTATCGCCATAATTATATTTGACCACAAAAAAGTATCTGAAATACACACACATGGCCAAAAGTAGGCCATAAAATTTCCATTTTTGGGTTAAACTATTCTGGAAAAAGCAATATTTTTTTCTCTAATTCCAGGTTTAACCAAACTTGGAAAAAAAAAGGAAAACCACCAACAGTTCTGTTGCACCAAGTTTAGTGTATCCTTTTGGGCATTCAAAGTCTACTGCAGGGGAGGCAATACCTTGTGAAGTGATAGAGCAGCTTCTACTTTTAATTGGTAGCACTACGCGTTTTTAGAATATCCCGCTTTAGGATTTAACCTGTTATTTCAGGAAGACAAGAATTTTGAATACACACATGACTTTCTCCCTTTTGAAAAAGAGAAAAAAAGATTTGCAGCTACTACTGCTATTACTGCTGCCGCTGGTACAGTTGTTGTTGTTGTTGTATGCATATGCTTCTGATTTCAATATTACACATTTACTTATACATCAAGCGTGTCTAAAGAGACAGATAACACATCCTTCTTATCTTTATTCCATAAAGAGACACGGCAGTAATACTTTGAAGCTACACAGTTTCATTACTGTAGATCATCCCCCATCCTTTACTGTCATCAATTTGAGTTTGGGGCAAGCTCAAACTAGATTTAAGGTTAAAAGATGGAATTTCTTGTGTAAATTATTCCGTTTTCCCATAATTATTAATTTGTATTTATCGATAATTAGATGAGACACCCAGTCTATAGCCCTTTTTTTAATTTATACAATCTTAATGTTTGAAGAAACTGTGACACTGAACAAGTGTTTGATGCCATTCAATGGAGGCTTAGCTACAAATGAACTAATATGTCAAGAATAAATAAACAAGGCTTTCTTTTAATCTTGAATGTAATCCATCTCTCATACTCTGTGGCTTTGTAGCTTCATTACCTTTTCTTTTGTTTTTAGTACTATCACATACGCTTTGATAGATAAGATTCATTCTTGTTCCCCCTCTCCTTTTTTTCGGACTTGATCAAATCATCGGGCTTAGAGAACGTTCTTTTTGCCTTTGGACAATTCAAGTAGAAAAGGGGGTATTAAGGACATGATAATGGTAGCTTGTGGATTGCCTAATAAAGTTTTGTTTGTTTACAAGTTTAAACAGATTACTTTGTGGCACAGAAAAAATAGAACTTGCGCGCTGATGGCTAAAAGGAAAATCTGACTGTTATAATGAATACGCGCGTGTATGTGTGGTAAAGTTCTTTATGTTAGTAAATCAACAATGTGTAGTCCATATCTCTATTCAATCAGGTTATGCATGAATGTTGATATATATATGTCTATACTTTACGGCCTAGATTCCTCTAGATAAAGATCTTCCTCCTTTTGCCTTTTTTGACGGGTGGTCAGCTCCCCATTTGAAAAGGGAACTTGGGCTCTTCCCCACAATGAACCTTTCTCTCTTTCTCTCCTTTTATATTATTTTATATATAAATACTTTACAATACATGTGATTTAAAGTTTTAAAACTTGCAAAAGGATCGCTAAAGTGCAAATAAAAAAGATTTTCGGGTTGTTGCCATTTTAAGATATTGTAAGGAGAGAGACATTATATCAGGTGAATAAAACATTCCATAATTTTCTTTTTACTTCTATATTGAGTACAGATTGTTTTTTTGCCTGCAGGATGACTAAATATTAACGCAATTCTAAAATAAAGAACAAGAGAGAAAAAGAAAGAGAAAGAGAGAAAGAGGGACTTCTAGGCTAACGAAAAATGACAACTAGACTGAACTGATCGATCGCGTTATGCCCGCTTTTATAAATGATTTGCAGGTACATTCTATTCTCAGTAATATCTTTACACAGCAGTAAACTGTTAACCTTGTAAGCAAACATGAAGAATTAGAGCATAATAAAATCATTAAAATGGTGAAAAGGAGAAAATAACTGTCCTGGACAATCTAGTAACACCAGGAAACTTTAATCACAAATTGGACGTTTGTGAATTATTGACGGAAATGCCCCGATATGTACGGACTTACACCCTTCCCCTTTATGTTTCTTTTTCTTTCTCTGCACAATGCGAGGGCCCTGGCTTGGGGTACATTAAAAATAGAATATTAGCCCACGTTTACGAAGGCGTGTATTGCTAATGTTATATTGATTGCTATTTTTTTTTTTTCTTTCATTTAAACTCTCTTGTAAAACGGGCTTTTTATGGTCTAGAAACTTTAATTTACAGGTGATGAAGCTCGCGTCAGTAGTATAAGCTATGAACTTTAAAACATCTGAATTGTCAGATATAAGCTACTTTTGTACACATGTAACCTTGATTACTTTGGGTTTTTGAAAAAGAGAAATATCCCCACAAGGTGGGTTACAGGCTAAAAAGTCTTTTTCCTTTTACTTCCATCTTCCTCCCTCTTTTTTCTTAAAGGTTTGTCCATTTTATAGAATATGGAACCATAGATTATTCTGGAAAAAGAAGCTGGGAGCTTAGGGGTAAACAAAGCTGCATATTTCTGCTACAGGAATATGTATTGCTCGAGCACCATACACACGCGCGCGCGCACAAGATAATTAATCAACTGTCACACATCGACTATTGTTATTATTTACATCAAAACATATCTCTTTCTACAGTATAAAAGCTACTTGTTTGTCATAGAATCAATCTTTCAAGAGAATAAAAAAGCTTATATTAGAGTTTGAAGCGTTGAACATATTCGCACACACACATATATACGCACGAATACGCATGGTGATTGTAAAATTTAAATTCAGTAATAGTGTTTAATCAAATAGGTCCTGCAACTCAAATGACACACACACACACACGTACATCATTATTATTATCAGTGACAGCATAAATGCGTAGCCGCTGTTAAGGAGAATAAGTGAGAAAAGAGGAGATGGATTTCTCTTTATGGGAAAATGACAACTATTCGGATAAAGGGTAAATATTACAAGATAATCTTGTTCATCTTTACATTTTAGTAGAAGCGGGCAATCCATAACCATTGTAGCCGACGTTAGACTCGGCGTAACACCACTTCTTTATATGTATATAAAAAAAAGGAACTTGCAGAATCTAAAAGAAGGAAACGGGTCTGATTAGTATGGATTGGTTCAGTAGCCGCTAGTACTTTAGCAAGCAAAAAATAACTCTTCACCTTTTTGATCTTGTCTTTTTTTGGGGCGCAAAGGCTTTCTTGTCGATAGAATACTTGATGCGATATGATGCTATAATGAAGAAAGGGTATTCAGGAGAATAAAGGGGCGTGAAAAGCGAACAATACATGCGTATTGATAAGGACCACATGAAATAAACAGTTTTTGTTTACTATCATTACACAAGTCTTTTTTCTTATAACGTTTGTCGAATAGAAATAAAGGGGATAGGAAAGGGAAAGGGGGGACAGAAACAAAGGGACGTGCAGTACTGCTATTTATTTATCTTTTCCTTTTTCATAAAGGATTGATTTCGTCTATTGAATGCTTTATATAAATAGTCCTTTTTTCTTTTTCTTCTTCTTTTTATTCCTCTTCTTATTATTATTACTACTTCCTTTTCGTTTCCTTATTCAATGACTTTTCAAACTTCGTATTCTACGTTGAACGTTAATGAATACATACAGACAAAGTCGTATCATCACTCGTACGATCCAGTGTTGCTGCAAGAAGCCTATGATGGACTTGGTATATATATTCCTTTTACCGACTATAAAGAGCCCTTAGGAACGGAAAGTCATCGTCCAACTCGCTCTGATTCTTATTTCACTTATAGCAACGCATGGGATGATTATGGCAACTTAGGATACCCGGTCAGTCACTATCCTCCAGATTACCCCATCTTTCAGCCAGGGTACAGTGATAGTCGTATGGCGTATACCATACCAAAAAATACATACAATCCAAGGCATGATGCTTCAGATAATCGTTCAAGTGTTCACAAGACAGAAACAAGCAAGGACTATACCAGAGATGACTATACGGTACCAAATTCACCTGAATCGATTACCTCAGATCTATCGTCATCAGCTTCCTCCATCAGCTCAACAACCCGTTCGTCTGCCAAAAAAAACAACAAGGAAGAAATAGGTGCGAAAAAGGTACATGCCTGCGACTTTTGTGATCGTAAATTTGCAAGAAAGTATGATGCGCATCGACACATTCGAATTCACACAGGGAATAAACCATATGTTTGTCCTTGCTGTCGTAAATGCTTTGCCCGCTCAGATGCACGTACTCGACATGTTCGCAAGGAACCCGCCTGCTTTGCATTCTCAAAAAAGCTAGATATGATCCAACGTACAAGACAGAGCAAAGAATAAATCAAATATCCCTACGTCGTGTTCAGCATGTATTCATTCTTTTTATATATATATACTTTCATACAACAATGAATCTATTTCATCTCTTTGCATTTTCCCTCTCTTTTTTATTATTATTTATCTATGACCCCTTCTCTTCTTCTCCTTCATATTGTCATTATATGATCTTTACTTTTCTTATTTACATACAGGTTATGCATACTTTTTTTAAAAAAACCATTTTTAACAAAATAAAGCAGCATATGACTCAATTTTTTTTTACAGGCTAATATGGCTCAATCATTTTTGGTTCACTCTATTTTTGTTGCTAGGTAACACATGTCTAAGGTGGTGCAAGTGAACCATTCCCCGTATATTTCGCTTGATATGTGATGAATTATGCAGATGAGTGTTTTCTTTTTTAGTCAACTTGCAGTAAAACTCTCAGGGAGGGAGACAGAGACAGAGGATGAATAAATGACTTCAAAACCGCAGATTTGTCCTAAAAAGGCAAATGTTGATCCTCTAGTATCTCAGATGTATTCTTAATGGTTCTGAATACTAAAATGCAGAAAAAAAATATTTGTTTATGGAAAAGTAACAATAAAAATGATTTTGTTTATATTTCACAAGTAATGTAGTTTGAATCAAAATAGACATCATATTTTTTTCATGACATCCTCTTTATTTGTTGCCCATTTACTCGTATTTTGCCATGTTTACTATAAAATAAGGAGAAAAAGAAAAAAAAACATGCAGAAAGCAATATGATATTATAATGGCGTCATTATTACCTCTATTATTATTAGTTTTTTTCGCTCTATAGAAAAATATAGAATTTCTTGTAGCTTTATTTGGAATACGGATTTACTACCACTAACTACCTCGTTAAGCCAATCATAATTGATTTTTTTTTATACACGAAAAATTATGTTTAAAGGCTATGCATAAGGATATAACCTTTTTTTTTCTCTTCACTTCCAAAAAAGGAAATAGACGATGATCAATAAGCAAAGGGAAAATTATATATCCCATTCGTCCTATTAGAATGTCAAGATGCTCTCTCTCTCTGTGTGTGTGTTTCTCGGAAACTCAATGAAAATAGGTATAGGACGCTGTTTTTGGATACACAACCAAGTCCTGTCAAAAAATAAAGTAATTATCATTTACATTATTCTTACATCATGTCTAGATGCACATTCAAAGCTAATTGCAAGGAGAGGGGGGTGTATTATATATATGTATCAACTGAAAAGGGGAGCAGTCTTTAATCAATTTGTTAAACAGAAAGGCTCTCGGCTAACTAGATAATAAAGGAAAGTAAACATTAGCCCTCATGGAAGGTAATTTGAGCGCTAATGACAGATTGCATTTGGTTGCAGTGGGCCCTGTTCTTTATCAGTGGCTAAAGACGATCTCTTATATTGCATATTTATATGTTGAAGCAATGATGTGCCTGTTGCATATATATACCAAAAATATTTAATTTGGAAGGAATAGGATTTGTCAAATAAATCATGTATATTTCCTGAACAACCCATCACTCTGGCACATGCTTACCATTCACCATTGCTAACCTCATTAGTCTATCTCTAGCAAGCCTTACAGGGCAAAACGGATGATTTATGATCATTTGCATGTAACTTGCATAGTGCTCATGCCCTTAGTGATCTCACCGCTCTGGTCTAGTCTGGACAATCTGTTATAATCTCTTTATTTTAGAGCATTATCAACTTGTGCGATTAGCATCATAAAATGACTTTGTTACTTTTTTGATGGGAATACAAACTTTCAAATTCCTAATAGACTGATTCGGCCTTGTATCCGACCGATAGACTAAGCCTAGTAAATAAAAAAGTGATGATCGTTTATTGGATAAAGACAGAATCGAAGGAGAATAAGGGGGGGGGGAGCGGAAGAAGACGGTCAGTCAATAGTGTTGTTACAGATAAACACCAAAAAGAGAGAACCAATAAAAGCTTGAACTGTCCAATGAAATAGGCAATTCCATGCAACCTGATATAAATATTTTGGAGAAAAGACAGTCCAGATAAATAAATGCTCCCTCAGAATTGTCACCGAAATTGATAAAAAGGACAGTGCCACACTAAAAAAGACAGACTGTGTGATGATAAACATGACCCATCTTTTTGGAATGTCTATCGTTGCACATGAATCGGCAATAAGCGACCAAGAGGCAAATACCCACCATACACTTGCAGACCAGTTGGAGATAAAGGTAAGTGCTCCTATCAGGAGCGTGTCGTATCCTTGAACACCAACATAGGCATTGCTCAAATCCACAGAGGCTAATGAATTAGAATGGCCCGTCATAAAAAAGGATGCGTGACATAGACAAGTCATCATAATGGCCAATGTCGATACTGATAATCGGTTTATCTCTATTAGATATTGCTGCCACAGTTTAAAGATGTGATAGTGTAGATAGAACACAAGGAATAGCGCGGCATTGTGTGTTCCGCTAAGCAGAATAAGGAGAGGTGTTGCTGTGTGCAATAGTAATTCTACTAATCTACTGTTGTCATTACCTAGCAATAAACTGACATTAATCTCTCCTTTTTTTTGTAAGCCTTTGTTTGTGCGCCTCGCTTACCAAAGCTTCTATTGTCTTCTAAATTGATCAGTTTTACTTTTCTTGTGATATAGCGTAACGCACACAGAACAAATAAGGCAGTCGCACCATAGTTGTATATCAATCGACCGAGTTGTACTTGGTCTAGTGGCTTCACCAATTCCATATTAAGTAAGCCTTGATACAACTCAGGCACAGATTTCATTGTGTTCCCATCATGGCCGGCAGCAGTTGGATCTGACCGAATCTTGTACACGAGCACAAGTACAGAGCAAAAAGAGATGACAGACAGATAGAATACCTTAGAAATATTTAAAATTACATTCGCAGGTTGATAAACATCCTCTGTCTGTGTTTTGCCTAATTCAATCACGTTCTTGGCAGCAAGGGCGACTGTCGTACCTAAAGTTAGAGCCACGAGATGCCATGGCGATATATAGTGTAATAGCATGCTTGATAATCCTCGATTCCATCCAACTGCTAATCGTACTGTTACTAGTTGAAGAAAGCACAGAATGGCTGAATAAATAGTAAATTTGCTTGATGAATAGACTGTATAAAGGCTTCAAGAGTATAAGAACAAGATAGAAGTCATTCTTTTTAAACTACCTTTGTACTACACCTAACAGAATAAACGTTTGAAGGAAATAAAACCAAGTTACATGCTCTTCTTCAACATAGCTGCTTGCAAACATACTAATTGAGTAAGCTCCCAAAAAAACAATCGAGAAATACCAGTTGAGTTTCCAGACCTGATCTGTCTTGTATCTCGCTTGGTAATGCCAGACACAAAATAAGATTGCGCTAGATATAATCAGCATTGTACCTAGTATCATATAGCTTAGCTTATAGTCACTTGCAATATTTGCAAGTTCTGATTGTGTTAAATCTATAAACTTGAGAAGGAGGTTATTACTAGTCTTTTCTTTTCCTACTTTGACATTTAATTACCTCATTAAATAGCACAATCGCATCATGAGCCGTCTGTTGTACTTGAGTTGATAGATACTGTTCGAAAAGCACAGTGGCTCGAGCATACAGTTTACCGTGTAAGCTAGCATTATCATCGAGGTATAAATGGGGCTCGCGGATATACTTTTGAACTGTTGGAATCATTTTTTCCAAAAGTTGCGCCAACTGAAATGCATTTAGCTGTAAAGCTCTGAGTAAGCTGGTGGCTAATAAATAATAGTTGGTTGATAATGAAGAACGTTAAAACACTCTTGCACTTACTATCTTCTTCCTTAAGCAAGTCAGTTATGACTCTACCAAGATTATTTCTTGGAATAGGGAATGAGAATAAGGATGCAAGTGTTGGTACTAAGTCGATCTGATCTATAACCGGATACCCAAACACCGTTGATCTTTTTGTACTCTTTGCTTGTTTGAAATGTGGACGTGATTGAAACTGTGGACTTAGAAAAACAAGAGCCTTGATGATATTAGGCTTGTTTGATACTATGTCTTTTATATAAACTTACTGTAGATGTTTCTCCAGTAGAAGATCCCCCATGATTCCCATTCTATTAATATCAATTGCTTTTTCTTTTGCTTTTAGTACGATCAACACACTTACATCATTCATTCCATGATCGCCGCATATGACAATCAGTGTGCCTTTCGCCTTGGGATCACTAACAAGCCTTTCAGCATCTTGCTTCGATACAATATCAAAGATAGATTCAATAGCCTCGTCCATTTCTCTTTGCTTTGGCTGCATCAAGGGGCTGTTGGGTCCACCCAAATGACCAATATGATCTAAACCCAGGTAATGCATGATAAGTACGTCCCATCTTTCCTTGGCTATATCTTGTTGAATATGCCTAGAGACATTTAAATCTACTTGTACAGTGTCCTATCTGCTGTTATCTAATCTTGTCCCCTTTGTCCGATTTCAAAAAAAAAGTACTTACGGATACATAAAATGACGTGGTTCCATCTGTTTTATCAAAGAGACCAGGAAATAGTCTGATCCATGTGTCATCACCAAAAAAATACATCGTCTTGTTGGCTTTCTTCAATTGATGAACCCAGTTATCATGAAAATCAAGGGAGGAACTTGTATCTGATTCGGCAATATTAAGTATAGCGTCTAGGAAGCTCGGAATAGTTCCTGTCGTTAGTGCCTTGATACGTGGCATAGTGACAGTGGGTGCTGTTGCCTTTGCTGTGAATGGTATTGCTGTTCCGTATTCTATTTGACTACAAGAGAGAAAAAAGGCTTAGTTTCTCTCTCTTCTTCTTGTAATGTTGATACCTTTTTACAAAATGAAAACTCGATTGCTCTCCAAAAACGAAATCACTAAAAGAAAATAAAAAGTAAGCATGAAGTAAGTGTGCTTGTTATTATTACTTTCGAAGTGCGTCAATGACAATAAATGCAAGTCTATCAAATACAGATTCCTGCCAATAGTGTTTATGCAAATCGTCTGCTAATGACAAAGGAACATCTTGTTGTGTGGCAAATCCTGACAGGTATATTTTATAGGGAAAAAACCCCTTGGCAAACAAACCTATGCCTATTATCTGTATGCACGCGAGCACAAACAGGTATAGTAGGTTGTGTCTTATACTTGACATGAGAGACAGAGGGGTGCTTGTGTAACATGGTGTATTCCCTCTTTGAGGTACCTGTGACTTGAAGGTGGCTTGTCCTCATTTTTACTACTTTTCTTTTTTTGCTTCTTTAAACTTATCTTCTCTCTCTCTCTCTTTTTCGTTTTAAAACAACCAATGACTCAGTTAGATCTAAAACAAGTAAATCTAATACCTCAAAGTGCGATCGACTGTTATACTTATGACTATTCATATAGGCAAAAAAGGCCATATCTGCTTTATACAAACATCAAGCAAACAAAGCCAACAATGATCTATTGGAAGATGAGACGGATAGTAGTATCAGTATTCAAATTAGCACTCATGCTATCAATAAGCATAAACCCAAGGCAAAGCCAAAAAAGATGTAACTATGTTAAAGTGAACAGGAATGATTCAGATTTAACTTCTTTATAGTACTTTAAAGCATTCACCATATCCCAGCAACATTGAAATCTGTTTAATAACAAAAAGCAACCCAACTGAAATTGAAGCACTCATCAAGAAGCAAAATGTTCCTTTTATCAAAAAAGTAAATACATATAAAAAAAAAGAGAGAAAGAGAAAAGGGTTGACAGATGTTTGATTAGGTCATCACACCTCTTATGTTAAAGACAACCTACAAAACATATGAATCTAAAAGAAAGTTAGCAGCATCATACGATCTTTTCTTGGCTGATGATCGTATTTCTCATCTTGTACCTGAATTGTTTGGAAAATCATTCTTGGCAAGAAACAAGTAAGGATAGGGGAGTTATTGCGTTGTGTAAAGATTAACTCATTTCTTGATAGAATTCCTATTCCAGTAAAAATGAATGGATCTTTAAAGAATACTGTCGAAAAGACCTTGAAGTGTACTTTTGCTAAAGTGAACGCTGGTACCGTTACGTAAGTAATCGTGTATTTTTTATGTCTATATATTGACCCATTTATAGTTCGATAAAGATTGGTAACTTTGGTATGAAACAATCTGAAATCTTGGAAAATTACGAAGCTGCCGTGCCTCAATTAGTTGAGCATATTGCAGTTGAATGGAAAAACGTAAATATCATCGGTTTGAAGTCAAATGGATCTCCTTTATTACCTATCATATGTATCTTGCCTGAAGGAAAGGAAGAAGCAGAAAAGAAAGAGGAAACAAAGGAAGAGAGTAAAGAGGATGAGAAGGAAAGCGAAAAGAAGAAGAAGAAGGTTGAAAAGAAGACAGCCGAGGTTAAAAAGATACAAAAGAAGGTTGGAAAGAAGAATGCTCAAAAGAAGAAGGGTGGAAAGAAATAGATGAATAAAAGTTTAATTCCTTAAATACGGTGTTTTTGTTTTGTTGTCCTTAAGAGTTTTTGTAGATCAAGTGTTCACAATTTAAAAGAACCTTTGATTATTTATTTTTTATATATAGATGTGACATTATGTGTGAGGGGGTTAACATTTCTACATGGTATTATTTGAAGTTTTTACAATTTTTGCGGGAGGTTCCTGTCCTGGGCTGGACGATGAGGGATGCGATCGTTTGTTGACAGAGGACGGATGAGAAGAATTACCATTACTATTACTAATACGAGCACGCATATCCTTGCTGATCTTTTGGTAATACTTTTCGAGTCTCTTTCCTTGATCATAAGCAAATGTGCCTTGTGCATTGTATGTAAAGCAGTTTTTAAATACGAGACGAATGTCGTGATCGATAGCTTTCAAGCTTATATATTTCCCACTTTCTAGTCTTTCCCAAATGGTTCTCAAGTCCATAGGATGTTTGATGATTTCAGCATAATCAGGTAATGCTGCCAAATCCACAGGTTCGTTAAACAAAGCCGCTGATTCATGGTAGGTTAGCTTATTGACCACGTTTTGAGCAATGCGTTTGTCGTCTCCCTTGATTGCATAAGGATCAGCAAACTCAGCTGACCAAATCTGATTAAAGAATGACTCCAATGCCTGACACTGTCCAACTACCCAGGATTCATGATGATTGAAACTGTAGCAGTTCCAAAAGATCTGACGTACATCTCGTTCCAAGTCCCATATATTCTTGTACTTGTCTTGCTCAAAGTTTCTTTGAATCAAAGACAAGTCCATAGGTCTCTTGATAACTTCATAATAATGTGGTACGCCTTCAGCAACAGCATCAACGGGTTTATGGAATGCTGCAGATGCTTGGTGAGCCCACAGTTTTTTGAGAATGCGTTCGCATTTCTTCTTGTTGTTGGCGTCCATCACTGGATTGATCGGAGGCTTAGGCTTGGGCACAGGAGCAGCTGCTGCCTCTGGACCAGGGGGTGTTGCCTTCGACGGTTTGGATGGCTTTTGATTTGAAGGCTCTACTCCAGTCATCGGTGATGCTGTTGTTGTTGCTGTTGTAGAAGTAGCTGCTTCAGCATTGCTTGTTGATGGGCGCCTTCGATTACCAAAATACTTTTGCCAATCCGCATTATAATCGTCTTCGAGCGCTTTGGCTTCATTATATACATAGGTATTTGGCGGATTGAAGGTATAACAGTTTCTAAACATCAGTCTCACGTCCTCATTCATCTCTTCTGGACTGGCATACTGATTATTCTTTAGTTTTCCCTTGATCGTACCCAAATCCATTGGTTTCTTAATAATGGTAAAGTAGTGTGGAACACCTTGTCTGATAGGATCAACCGGACGCAGAAACTCAAAGGCATGAGGATTCGTCATGGCATTGACAATGATAGTTTCCATCTTTTCATAATCTGTTATCGGCTTGGCCTTCTTCTCTGGTGCAGACGGTAGAGACAGAGTGATGGGCTTGATAGTCTCTTGTGGAGGTTCATGAGGAGCTTGACTTGGTGCTTTCTTTGATACCTCCCTTACAACTTCAGGTTCGCTGTTAGTCGATGCTGCAGGACTGACAAAGGTGCTGAGTTGTTTGGGCTTTGGTTGTTTCAGTTTGATAACAGGAGGCGTTGTATCATGGACGATGGTTTGCGGTTTGGCCGGCGTAGGGCTTTCCACAATGGTCATATTTTGTGTTTCGTCTTGTTCTTTACCTCGTAAACTGGCTACTTCCTTTTCAAATACAGCTTCGAGTGCCTGTCCTTCGTTATATACCAGTGTTCCAGGACTATTGTAGATATAGCAATTATTTAACATTAAGCGTATATCATCTTCAAATTGTCGGAATGTGGTATATTCTTTGTTTTCAACTTTGCGCTTGATGACACTCAGATCAATTGGGTTCCTGATAGTAATAAAGAGTAATGAGTGTGTCTATCCATAAACGTCACTGCATGACTTACTTGATAATTTTATAATAGTTTGGCGCACCGTCCAAGACTTCGTCTACAGGCTGAACAAAAGGTAATGCGCATCTGTACTTGTTTATCTTGTTTAGTACGCGTCTGCATTTCTTCAACTCTTCAGCCGTTACACTGTCTACAACCTTCTTGTGCTTCGGTTTGCTCACTGGAGCCGGTATAGAAGCTGTAGCTTGCAGAGAAGGTTGTGTAGTGCTTTCTGACTGTGCTTTCTGTTTCTCAGTTTTACGTTGACCACTGATGGAAAGTGTAATGATATTAGGTGATGGTGTCGGCGTAGATACTGCATCAGATACAGCAGTCTTGGGCTCTTCGCGTATAGTCACGTTTTTTTCTGCGTGGTCGGCCGATGAAGACACGGATGACGGCAGAGTGACAGTTATTCCTGATTTGGTAGAGGAAATAGATTCTGTATCTTGTGAAGGAACTTCTGCTCTAATATGAATGTTTGGCTTTTTGGATTCTATAGAGACATATATATATATATGAATGAAACATTGATCAACTATAATAGTAAAGAACTTACTTTCTTCAACTCGTGGCTTTGGTTTACTGAAACGAATGATAGGTGGTTGTTGTTGGGTAGGTGTAGAGGGCTCAGATGTATCTTCACCCATATCTTGAGGCTAATTTAAAGAAAATTGTTAATAGATATAAATGATTCAGGATGTGTGAATAGGTTACCTGTAGAGTAGGCACACGAATTGTCACCTTGAGGCCGACATCGATAGGCTTAAAGACATACTCTGAGAACTGAAGCAAGTATTTACGAATACAGTGATCAATCTTTGCATTTTCTGATGAACTAGGTGTAAAGTTAAGATTGAATTCTCTTTCTTCTTTTTTCTTTCTCTTTCTTACTTTAATAGTTTCCATAGAGACTGTTGTAATTCTGTATCATTTTCAAATCGCTTTCGCAAATTTTCGACACTGGATTGGAATTCTTGCTGCGGCGTTTTGTGCGTCAAAGACCGATCATCGTCAATGACCACCTTACCCTCTTCTTCCGCAAATTCTTCAGTATATTTATTTATCGAAGACACATCATATGTTTCTTTCAAAGCTAACCCTAACCATGCCAGCATGGCGCGTGCTACATAGTGTGATACATAGACAGAAGGATCCTCTTTGATGATGCTAAGCAAGTACTGGTTCAAAACAGGGTCTGAAAGACCGCAGAGAATGTACAGACTGTCAAATGCCGTCAAACGCACTTCCAGAAAGTTTCCGTATCGTGTATATTGCATGAATAAGGACAGATTAAGCGGTAAGAGATCCTTTAGCATCAGTTTTGTCATGGTCTAAAAACCTGTTAGATGGTATTCTTTTTTTTTTTTGTAACAAGGTACCTTTAAACATGTGACGGTAATAATATTGTGATAGGTAGGAATAACATAATCCAGCGTTCTGAACCGTTCGATCTCTGCTTTAGCTGCAGCATTCACTTGTTCACCTTCTAGATCATCTAGTTTTAAAGCTTCATCTGACACAGGTATGAGTGCATCTCCTAAAGCAGAGATAAGTGTAGCAACATAATAACAATCAGAAAACTCGTTTCCAATGTTATCATTATATCGCAAAAGATCCAGCAGGAATTGTCGAATCTTCACTGGTGTCAGTCCGCGTTCATCGCGGATTTGCGAAAATGCGACGACGGAGGCCTTTTGGAGAAAATAATCAGACAGGTTTGAGAAATTGTTGGGTTTGGGTATGGAATGAATGAGCGGAAAGTCTTTCATTTGATCATTACTGTCATTTTGAGAGTTTATAGGAAAACAGAAGCGCTGGTGAAACATCTTGCTTAGTTGATGCAAGCCAACCCATTTTAAGCTTGGAATTGCACAACTTGCTAATCCGTAGGCTGCTTCCATACGTATCTTGTAAAAGCATTTTGGATCCATGATGGCGCGTAGTAAACTGGTCGATGTGGCGTAGGATGGCATATATTTAAGCGCGTCAATTGCTTCATGTTGAGCAACAACGTCTCTGTCTTTGGTTAATTGTGCTGCCCACATGTAGTCTGGTTGCTTAAATTCAACTACACAGACCCATTCGAATTCTGCATCAAGGCGGATCCAGTCAAACATAGCACTGGCAGCACCACTTGTATCTTCTTCATCCTGACCCCATTCGACAATTCTCCATTCTTTCTTCTTGCTTGGGTCTTCAAAGATAGGCATACCAAGGCCCAGACTAGGAATAATCCCTAGCACCGTTGTCTGATCTCCGCCCTCTTCGTTTTCTTGTTCTTCTTCAGCTACAGCTGCAGCGGCGGCGGCTTGCTTGGCTTGGAATCGCTTTGTGTTTCGACGAATACGCTTATACTTTGTGTTGAACTGAACCTCGAACTTTTGCTTATTGGCTTGAATATCAAGAATGTGTTCGTAAGGAGTACCGTCTGCTTCGTGGATGCGGACAGTCAAGTTGCCAGTAAAAAGTGGCGTCATAAGCTGCTGGTACTCTGTACCATATGACATATCATCCGGACTGACAATGAGAGCATTGGTGTTCTCTTGTCGCATAAAGATTTCAACGACCATCTTTTTTCGATTAAAGTGAAATGAAAATGAAAACCTTGGGCAACCACTTCTGTAGATCCACTGTTCGGCAAATACTTTTGTATCGAATCCACTCACTTTTCGACATACCCTTAAAAAGTAATGTGTACTGATCGCATTCTGTGCTAGTTCACCACTCATAGCCGATACAAGGATTTTAGGCAGCACTCTTGACAAGCCGAGTGTTCCGCCTCCTTTACACATTCTTTTATCCAGCATATAGACCACAAGTGGTGCTTTTAGTTCGATAAATTCAAGATCTTCAGGATCGAGTGGATACGGTAAAGCAGGATTGTAGATAGGCGGTCTGTTGATATCCATAATACAACATAGCTCCATATCCTATACAAATAAAAGAAAAGGATATTAGGCATACAAAAAAAAAAGGAAGTATACAAAGTAAGAAAAATTACCTTCTTTAGCCTTAGTCTATATTCGTTATTTCCCAAATGTCTCTTGATGAAGAGTGATCCCATATAATTTGCCAACCCTCTCACTAACCATGTATCTGGCCAAGATTTCTGAACAATATAAATACCAAACCATTGCCTTGCAAGTTCCTGACTGAGCTCACGCCTGGTGTTGTAGATTTGATCGATTATATCGGCCGAATGAAGCAATCGAGAGCTGCAGATAGCCAATGATGCACTTGAAGCAACATTAGCCCATGCATCCTCCACAAACACCAATTTATAATCTGAAAATGGATATGACCCATATTCTTGAGTATAAAAGTGCATTGCCTTAAATATGATAAATTAGTTATATATATCTAGCAGTTGAACAAAGAATGATCCTTACATGCATCAAAAAACTACAGGTCACATTCAACTCTTCTTCAAATCCTGGTAGCCCAAACGCATAAATGTTACACATCATGTTGATTTCAGCCATCAATGTCTGCTGTTGATTCTCATCCAAGTCGGCTGCTGTTAGGACTTCTTCTTGAAGTTGCTGAGGTGATAACTTGATCATCTCAAATGGACCGACAGCAAATCCAATGAATGGTGCGGGTGTTGGTACTGAAAGACTGTAATGAACAATTTTTTTGGTGGTATCAGTGGGGTGGATAACTTGCTCGATGAGATCCCCACTGCAAACCACCATCATGCAGTCCTCTTCGTCAAAAGAACCTTCTCCGTCGTACTCTGGTATCGTATTTCCACTTTCCTTTCTAGGTACAATAAACTCCATATCCCATGTACATCTTTCTGATATTCTATCCACGCACGGTAGCCATGATCGTGTTGATCCTGGTAATGGTTGATTGACAGTATACATATGATTGGATCGCTATTACCCGTTTATATATCAATAAACTGATTATTGATTAATATGTTTATACAACTTACATAAGGCGCGATCTCATCATCTTTTTGTACATATACGATGCCGTTTCGAGGATCTTCCAGCGTATACTCGATTCGCACGGTCAGGAAGGCATAAACAGGCTCTGTCTCTGGAGGTTTATCCTCATTCTCTTTCTGCTGCTGCTGTTGTTGCTGTTGTTGCAATCTCTGCTGTGGTTGTGGGGTTGGTTGTGTGACAATTCTCGTGCCAATCTACAGAAAAGTCAGTCAAGTGCGTATGTACATTGATGATTTATACATTACTTGTTTTATACAATCGGAAGGTAATTGAATCAACATTTCGCCTTCGTCAGCTTCCCGTAGTGCATTCAAATATTTACTTTTATAAACTTGGTGATGAGCAATTGTGGTTGAAGGTCCAAGGTTAAGATCGAGTACTGGGTCAGACAAAGTGAATTCAACAGGTATATCGTTAACAAAGGTCTTTATAATTTCTATAATAATATGAATATTTTGGTCGTTGATAATATGTATATATGCTTACTGCATTGTCGGCAGTTGATTTTAATGGATGGTAATTTATTATGAAGTGGTTGAATGGTTAATTCTGCTAGGCCTTTGATAAATTTATGGCTGGGATCTACTTCAATAACAAACCGTTCATGACTTGTATAAATTCAAAAAAAGACAACATTAGTCATGTGTGTTCAAGCTTATTTTTGTTGGAAATACTTATAATGTAAACGTCTTTTTGAGAGCGTCTCGTTGCATCACTTGGTATGATTTTAAAAAAGATGTTCAAAAGAGAGTAAAAGAGATTTTGACTGCGGAGTTCAATAGTACTACGTCACCTTAATTTTTTCCTTTGTTAAATAGTGGTTTACTGGAAAGACAAAAGAGAGACTACAATAAAAAATCCCCGCTTCTCTCACTGTCTTTCTATTCTGAAAAAAAATAACAGATGGCTATTGAAGGGTGATTACTATTAGCTAAAACGACGCGTGAGTATGCGCGCTTGAATTGATTTCTAGAAAAATACTTCTGCCAATCAAATACATTTATTTCGTGTCGTCTTTATTTATTTACAGAGAAAAAAAAATTTTTTCTTTTGCACATATATTTTTTCACATTAAAGCACATTTGAAATTTCTTCATTTCATCTGTTAAAGAAAGGAATCAAAACATTCAAGATTAACCTTTAAATAAACCTTTTATACCTAAAGGATACTAAACTCGTTGACTGTTTTGAAAAATGAGCAATACACGTACTACCCGCAGCAAATCATCTGTAGTAGAACCTAGTTCAAGCAATAATAGCAATGCTATTGCTGAAACTACTGCCAACACTGTTACCACTACTACTACGACTAACACTACTCCTACTCCTACAAAGAAAGTAATAAAGAAAAAGACAGCTGAAAAGACATTGAGTAGTAGTGCTAAAAGGCAAATACATTAAAATATATACGTTGTTGTCATAGATTTAACAAATACTGACTATAGAATCAAGAAAGAACTTGCTGAAATCTCACTTGATCCTCCTTCTAATTGCAGGTAAATTATAAAGCATATAGAATTGACAGGGTCATTGATTGTATGTATGTGTATAGTGCTGGACCAAAAGGTGATAATTTATATGAGTGGGTTTCTACAATTGCTGGTCCAGCTGATTCCCCATACGCTGGAGGTATCTTCTTTTTAGACGTACACTTTCCTCAAGACTATCCTTTCAAGCCTCCAAAGGTAACAATATAGTTACATGAAAAATTAAAAAGGGGGAAAAGAAAGAGGTGAATTAATTATTTATTATTTTTATTTTATCATAGGTTACATTTAGAACACGTATTTACCACTGCAACATCAATAGTCAAGGCGCTATCTGTCTCGATATCTTGAAGGATAACTGGTCACCTGCCTTGACAATTTCTAAAGTCTTGTTGTCTATTTGTTCATTATTAACTGATGCTAATCCACGTATGTTGCAAAGAAGTATACATATATACATGACTTTAACCCATCCATACAATAGATGACCCATTAGTTGGCTCCATTGCTCATGAATACTTGCATAATAGAGAAGAACATGATAGCACTGCACGTGAATGGACAAGAAGGTAATAAAAAAAACAATGCATAATATTGTCATGGAAACTAATTTTATTAAAGATATGCCTGTTAATGTAACTTATACTACGCCCTTTTTTCATTGCACACACACAAACACATATATATTCACACAAGATACAATGCACTCACAAGAAATCATTAAATAATTGCACCTCATCTATTTTCATATACAAATAAAAAATAAAAAAACAATAAAAAAGCCCCATCCTTTTGTCTCTTTTTATATTCCATTTTTAGAAAAGCAGAGTTTGACACATTCTATTCACAACAGCGTTCAAACTATTTAAAGATAACAATTACCGTGACTGCAAATTCTGAGGGAGACTTTGACGGCAGCAGTCGGGGTTTGTAGTCTATCAATCGTATAATCTATAAGGGTTGCAATCAATCACGCAAATCTATTATCAGTCAGGTTGATCTTTAACCTCTATTTTTTAGCTTGTAAATGATAAAGTAAAAGGAAATAAAACAAAGGCAAGATGATGAAAGGATAAAGTCAATAGCAGGGGGGGGGGTCTTAAGTCAGCAGTGACATCAATGCGGTTTTAGCGTGTTGACTTTTATGTGTGAATATAAAGATAAAGCAATGCGATCTAAGGCGGAATCAATTAAAAAAAAACCTAGTTGTGCGGTGATGTAATCTTTAGGTTATATAAAGCCTTATTGTTTTGCTTGATTTTATTCCCTTGTATTTCTTTCTTATTACATTAAAAATGGGTCTTCTCGATATCGTTCCTGCTGGCGTTCTTACTGGCGATAATGTCAGAAAGCTTTTTAACTACGGTAAGTAGCCTTACCAAATGTGTATGGTCATAGACTTATACGTGTATTAGCTCGTGAACACAAGTTTGCTATTCCTGCCATCAACTGTACTTCCACAAGCACCGTCAATGCTGCTCTTGAAGCTGCCAAGAAGAACGGATCCCCCATCATCATCCAATTCTCCAACGGTGGTTCTGCTTTCTTTGCTGGTAAGGGTATTGATAACAAGAACCAAGAAGCTTCTATTCTCGGCGCCGTCGCTGGTGCTCAATATGTCCGTGCTGTTGCCAAGGCTTATGGTGTCCCCGTCTTGGTTCACTCTGATCACTGTGCAAAGAAGTTGCTCCCTTGGTTCGATGGTATGCTCGCTGCTGATGAAGCCTACTTCAAGGCTCATGGTGAGCCTCTATTCTCTTCTCACATGCTCGATCTTTCTGAAGAACCCGTTGAAGAGAACATTGAGACTTGCTTAAAGTATCTTAAGCGCATGGCTCCTATGGGCTGTTTGCTTGAAATGGAAATTGGTATTACCGGTGGTGAAGAAGATGGTGTTGATAACACCGGCGTCGATAACGCCGCTCTCTATACTCAACCTGAAGACATTTGGGAAATCTATCGTCGCTTCTCAGAAGTCACCGATTTGTTCTCAATTGCCGCTGCTTTCGGTAATGTACACGGTGTTTATGCTCCTGGCAATGTCAAGTTACATCCCGAACTCCTTGGTAAGCACCAAGCTCATGTCAAAGAACAACTCAACACAGATAAGGAAAATCCTGTCTACTTTGTCTTCCACGGTGGATCCGGTTCTAGCCGTGAAGAAATCGATACTGCTCTCAAATATGGTGTCATCAAGATGAACGTTGACACTGACACACAATGGGCTTACTGGAAGGGACTCAAGGAATTCTATGAAAAGAACAAGGACTACCTTCAATCACAAGTTGGTAACCCTGAAGGCCCCAACAAGCCCAACAAGAAGTACTATGATCCTCGTGTCTTCATTCGTTCTGCCGAGCAAACAATGATTGACAGAATCGTTGAAGCTTTGGACTGGTTGAATAATAAGAATGTCTTGTAAATAATTTAATTTCTTTGTATATTTCGCGTGCACCTTTTTGTCATCAATAAACACGTGTTCAATCCATTTTTATTATTAAAATAGTGAAATTCCCGCTTTATACCTCTCTTTCTCTTTTCTATCTGCTTTGTTCTGATGATGACGCAAAATGAAGAAACCAAAGAGCATCACCGAAGACTATCACTACCCAATCTTGTCAAGCTGAGAGAAGAATGGGATAAAAGGGAGGCAGTTCAAACGACATTACAACTTCCTCCTGGAAAGCTTCAAGTAAGAATCAAGCTTGATTGACAACTATTATATATGTTTACTTATATGACTATAGATTGACCTATTGAATGTTCGAAGTGATGTTCCAGTATCAAGACCTCTAATGAGACTTCGAATGGGTTCACAACATTACTTTTCTTCAAGGTCAAAGCATCCCAATGGTAACTGGAACGAAGGTTTCCTATTTACTGTATCTTATCATAATCAGTTATTTGATACCATTGAGGTAGATACAAATATTTTTTTTAAAAAAAAGGAGAGAACTGATGTCTTATGATGGGATATAGCTTGACTTGTACGATAAAAGAAAAAAGTGGAGATCAAAGACAAGGCATATTGGCAAAGCCAAATTAAAAATTGCACAATTAAAGAATCGAGAATCAGTATTTATTACGTAAATAAGGAGTAGAAATATATATATATGCGATAGATATTTATAGATAATAACCATAGATTCCTGCCAATGTACGAATATCATGTTAAGCGCTATTTACCAGCTCACATTCAATTACCTCACAACTTTTTGAAATCGCATATGCCAAATATGTCAATGCCTAAATTAAAACAATATTACAATACTAAAAGAAATCATACTCAGCCAGAAGAGGAAGATATTATTGATGATACGTTTGACCTACCTCCATATCAGATTCATTCAAGTCACAGTAGACACTCGATGACTCCTTATATAGGTTCGATTCAAGTGAGAGTAAGATATTCATTCCAGCACCCTTCAACACAAGATGAACAGGAGATATTGGATGATTTTTATAGTCATCAAAACGTGTCCAGTCTATTCAAACGAAAGAATTCGAGTATTTATACAGGAACGGACGATTATTCTTCTTCAAGTGCTCAATCTGATATTATTGAAAACTATCATGATGCAGTCGAACCTAATCTAGTTCTCGTCGATCGTCCTGTGGTCGAACCTCAGAATGATTCCACCGTCGATTTGATGTTTCAGAAAAAACTCAATCAAACCAACGTTGATTTTCCCAAGACAGACAGTGAAAATAAAAGAAAGGATGACGTTGAAATATCAGATACGGCAAGTATAAAAAGTCATAACTTTGGTGATAAGAATTTTGCATTCAAATGGATAAACGAATCGTTTGAAGAAGTTGCATTGTCTCATCCCAGTTTAGACAGAATGATCGGTCTGGTCGTCAGCCCTCAAACTCGAATTTTACTTCGTGCAGTTGTCAAGATGATTAATGCCTTTGTAAGTAGATATCATGTAAAATTAAAACCTTTCAACTTAGTGTTATTAGGGACAAGGATTCAAAATCACTATCCTACAACTCATCTCATCTTTGTCTTTACTTCAAAACTTTTATGCCGAGATTCCGAGGTAAAATCATAACAATAACAAAACAGTTTCAACTCACACGATATTTTATATCAGAGAACCGCCGGCAGAGAAGATCACTGACCTCAAGTTTCTTGATGAAGCTTATTACTTTCTAGGACATGCCATCATTGCTTATGTAAATTTAGTTTGCTGTTTACATTTTTTTTATTGACGTGTATACAACTTGTTAGGGTTGGCGAGGCATCTCTTATCTTGGGGATTATGCAAAGTATTTAAAAGGTAACTTGTCTTTTTTTTCTGGGGCAAATACTAACCTCTCTCCTTAATAGATGTTATGAAAACGAAATCAAATAAGGAAGCCATTGTTCGATACTTAAAGATCCCTCCAGAAGATTTATTAGGTTATGAATATGGTTTACGAAAGGGAGCTGTCTTTCAACCAAGTTATTTTGTGTCTTATGACCAAGCACATGAAGCTGTTGTCCTCGGTATCCGTGGCACTTGGGTAAGCAAAAAGGAAAAGCACATGAGAGGGAAGGAGGGAATATCAGTGTAACAATTTTTTTTTATTAGAGCTTGTATGATTGCATTACAGATCTTGTCTGTGAGTATAGACCCTGGCGAGGCGGATTGATTCATTCTGGGTTATTAGCATCTGCACAATGGTTTTTTACGAGGATCATACCACAAATATTCTTGTACATTGGTCAGCAAAAGACTAGACCTATTTCATCCTTCATCATCACAGGTCACTCCTTAGGTGCAGGCACAGCCTCTATCCTGACGATGATGGTTGCAGATCACTTGGATCAGTTAAGAGAGCTATCCAACAACCCAGACTTTAAAGTGCGCTGCTTTGCATATGCTCCCGTAGCTAGTGTTTCTTTAGAACTCTGTGAAAAGTACAAAGAGTTTATTGATAGCTTTGTATGTCATGATGATATCGTTGCCAGATTATCGTATGGCGCTGCATCCTGTGCTAAAGAGCTCATCATGGACTCAGTCATTGCCGTGGACGGGTTAGGAGGAAGCAGCAAGGTGAACTCGAATCCGACACTGCGAAAAGAGTGCTTTGACATCCTCCAAGCACGTAGAAAAGAGATCTATTATGGAAAGGAGCCAAGATACCCACTTTTATACATTCCAGGCCGCGTCTATCAATTCAGACGTCAGCCGAAGCCTAGCAACCCACATCTCAAAAAGTTCTCAACCCAACCTTTGCCTGGAACAACGACGAGCAGAAGAAAATCATTTGCATCCAGTGCGTCTGAGCCCAATTTGAATTTACCCAAGAAAGAAGATAACACATGCTCATTTACCCTTCATCATTCTTCATCCATGTTATCTGAGGAAGTTGTCATTTCAAAAACGTGTCTAGAAGACCATATGGTCGTCACTTATCTCAATGCATTTCAAACTGTACGTCAAGATTGCATGCGCCAAGCCGCTGCTCGTAAACGGACAGATAGCGAAACAAACTCATTCGTCTCTTCTTCATCTACATTGAAACAGTCATCATCATCATCCCCTTCCTCATCAAAAATCAAGTTAAACGATTTATCTTCTTCTTTTAATCATTTAGACGAAGAAGGTATTGTTAAATAAATATCATTTCTATTTTGTTTGCGTATATCTTTATTTAAATCAATAGTTTTTCTTGGATTGAGCCTTCTTTCGCCTATCAAATTCATGACTCGATTCATATTTGGGCATCCTGAAAAGAGAAAGATGAGTTAAAAAGAAGGATATTTGAGCAATGAACTTACTCTGAGAGTTTAGCAGGTAAAGGAGTCGAGTAGAAGTAATCATGTTCAAGCGCTTCTAGAGCAGTCAATCTCTTTGCAGGGTCTAATACTAACAGCTTGTCTAATAAATCTGCTGCCAATGGATCATATTTTGAATATTCCTCAAGCACTCTTCTCTCACTTGGCTCGAATTTGATCTTTTTCGCATCAGGTAATTGCTCCCAATTAGGCATATTTTCATCATTAGGAGATCCACAGAGTTCAAATATTTTGACAAGTTGGTCAATATCATCTTGTCCTTGAAGGATGGGCCTTGACTTGAGTAGTTCACCAAACACACATCTATATTCTTGGTAAATCTACTTTTTCTTTTTCTTTCCTTTACGCAAACTTACCCAACCCCCCACATATCAATGGCAGTGGTATATCTTCTCTCGCCGAGTAACAGCTCTGGCGGTCTGTACCATCGGGTGACAACGCAGTTGGTATACTCTTTATTTTCACCTTCAATGCCACGAGCAAGACCAAAATCTGCGATCTGAAGGACACCTTCGTTGTCGATGAGTAAATTGGCAGCTATAGAAAGAAAGGTAAGTATATCAAAGGTGCATGTGTATCATATCCAAACCCTTCATATCTCTATGTAAGATTTTATTCTTGAAAAATAAGGTCAGTCTTTTTCAACTTGCTAACCTTATACAACTTACATGATGCAGATACGCTGTGCCTTCCAATAGTTGTTTTAGGTAAGCTTTGATCTGTGGTTGTGATAGACGAACACTGGGGTTATCTAATAGACCTGCCAAGTCATGATCCATGTAAGGGAATACCATATAGATGGAACCTTTTTCTTTCTTTGTAGGATTTCCTATGATATGATTTATTATGTCATGACAACACTTCATCTTGCTTATCTTTACCTCTATCCACAGCGATATCAATTAAAGGTACCACGTTTTTATTTTGTAGTTGCTTCAAAATTTTTATTTCTCTCATTGCTGTTATAGGAATCTATATGCATATATATTGACATGAGGAATATCATTATATGATCTATGTATCTTTCCTACCCCTTCTTTCTCATTATGCATCAATATCCTCTTTAACGCTACATATTCACCAGTACGTTTGTTTCTTGCTTTATGCACTTCACTATTTAAAAAAGTTAAATACAATATCTTTTATTATTATTATTATTATTATTACCCAAATGTGCCTTCTCCTAACTTGTCTAAAAATTCATACTCTGTAATCTTTGAACAGCCATGAAATGTACGCTGATGTTTTGTACGATAAGCCGGTGATGTAGAAGATGCTGTGGACCAGGCAGGTGAAGCATTGGTGTTATTTATCGTTTCAACTGAGCCGTCTTGTTTTTTATATCTTTTTAAAATAGGATCTTCTCCAATGTCATCGTGTTCTCTCTTCATGGTATATTGTTATTTAAAAGAAAAAGAAGAAAAGAAAAAATCATCAAAAGGGAAAATTGTCCGAAATGGGGTGTGTTTAGTGCTCATAATTGATATCCACACATATCAAAGAATGGCGCACTATCCAAACTGACCAAAATCACATAACCATATGCTCTTTCCGAAAGTAAATTCGCCCTAATGGAAAATTAATTCGCCAGATGGCAAGAGCACTACACTTCGAGCTTTGGGATCTTGGTTGTTGTAATTATTCTTTTCTTTATTAGTTTGAATTGTACAATGTAAAAATAAATACAGTAATATAATATTTTTTTTTGATCCTTTATCTTCTTTTCGTTCGAATTTGTACGTACCTGGACTCTTCTTCGCAACAAACCATCAACTATTTAGCAGATCTTCACACCACTCACGACCACAAGCTCTCCACGCTAGCTACCTATAGTAATTCAATTCTGGCTCTGTTCTCCGCCAAGGATCAGCAAGCAATCAAGCACTCCGAACCTTATGTGGCCTTCCTTAAAGCGCCCATGGCCAAGATCATCCTGCCTCCTCGACACTGGTCGTACCACGTGGCTCCCGCCATTAGTTACGTCGTTTCCTTAGGACCCACAACGATCACTCAGACGATCTCCTCACGGCTAAAACAGCTTGGCTCTTGGTGATGGTTGGATTTCTCCGTCCATCTGACTTGGCAAGAGTGGATCTGAACAAATGCTCTATTTCTGAGGACAGGGATTTGCACTTGCGTGTAGTAGCTCCAAAAGAAACACGCCAAGAATCCCGCATTACCAAGACAATCACCATCCGCCCGTGACATGTTTGATGGGATAGTCATAATAATAACTCGAGTATAATCTTACAGTAGGGCATACATTCTACTTTACATTCCTCTATCACATCTGATAAGAATAACTTATAATAATAATAATAACTATAGTAGCTACTAGTATAACAATAATAATATAAGCATAAATAATCACATTGACCACATTTATCATTCTGACAGCGATATGCTTTAGAAACAGTTAGTTCACACACTCAGTATTTGCATAATCAGCCTCAGGAGAATAACTTCGATGTAGGCTATATGGCAGATAAGGATGCAAAAGATGACGTAGATGTTTGCATGAAGGAGGCGTCGAGTAAGCGAGCGTACATACTCTATACAGATCAAGACAAAGTTAGATTCTTTAAACTGATGTTTGAGAAAGTTATGAGTGCCTCAGCTGCTACGAAACAATTAGGTATTCATGTTCGCACAGCTCAAAAATGGGCTCAAATGTACAAAAAGGATCTTGATAGTATTTTTATAAAGCATAAGAAAACCGGTCGCTTGCGTATGCTTCAAGAAGAACACAAGTAAGTGATCTTGGAGTACATAGATGAGGATCTTTCAGCCACTTTGGAGCAAGTAATGGAGCGACTAGTTCAAAAGCTTCAGAATCCCAAGGTCTGTAAGGTCACTATCTACAATTTTGTAAGAACTGAATGTAACTTGTCACTCAAAAAAGCCCAATTTCAGCCTGTAGATAGGAACAGTGAAGAAAAAATTCAGGAGCGTTTTGATTGGGTTCATAAGTGGGAGTGTACGGACATGGACTTTAGAACTAATTGCGTCTTTCTCGATGAGTCTGCGTTTCATATTAATTTAAAACGTAGTATGGCCTGGTCAAAAAAAGGATTACCTGCTGTGGTCACAGTGCCCAAAACCCGAGCACAAGCAACAACGATTTTAGGTGCGATCTCTGCTTTAGGATTAATAAAGTGTAGCCTGAGATTACCGCAGCCGTCAGCCAAGAAAAGAAAGAGAGAAGGTTAGGTTGAGCAAAAGAGTATAGGAACAGTAACTGTTCACTATTTTAGCTTTCTGACGACGATTCTCCGTCCTAGTGATCGCTAGGACACATTTAGATGCCTTCGGAGTAAGTTGTATAATACATTAATAATTTTCTTACAGAACTAACTGTATAATTCTTTATATTCTTTCCTTGGTACTTATTACTCTCATTTGTATTTCATCTGCTATTCACCTCCTTTGCACCCATTTTATTTTTTAATATGCGTCAATCATTTTTTTCATACACGCCATAATTTTAACCTCTTTCTGAAATTTATATTTAATAAAACAGTAGACTCTGCTTGCAATCTTCAATTGACACTTTAAATCATGTAAGCGATTGTGATAAGTGGAAGATATCAACAGGAAAAGTCGTCGAGGATATATTTAAAGGAATCATTGCAGATTCAGTATTTGAGCACCCAGATCATTCATGCATATTGAATCTAAGTGATATTTTATGGAAAAAGTACTTCACAGACGTAAGGGATTAGCGAAATAAAGTCTTTAAACAAAAAATTCAAATCCATTTCTGAACCTTTGTAAAAGCATTTGATTCATATGGTGAATCAGAGATTATAGAAGACATTAGAAGATACCGCATTCACACACTGCTTGAACAATAAACAGTTTGACCAAAAATGGTTTGAAGCGGATGTTTAATTCCTCAGTCAAAATTCACTGGTGATGTAGTTACTCACTGACAATGCATTTTAGATTGACAGGGATATAAATGAAGAAAAATCGCGTCTCACGGTAACTTTGTTTCAGAAATGCGTTCTTTCTATTTTGGTTAAAGTCAAGTGATTAAACCTGACTAGAAAGTTAAATTACACTGTTTTAATAAAAAATGAGTAATACGCTTTTTAAACATTTGTTCAAGCTTGTAGACTTTAATATCTTATATTGCTGTTGTTTTTGTCTTTTTCTCTGTTATTGTTCTGCTGCTCTATTCTTTAACTCTTTGCTTATAAAAGTAAAGTGGGACACAATGTCCAATGAAAATTTTGATAAACCTATAACGTGACTTGTCTACTTTATTTTTCAATGTCCAAAAGGAAATGCTGTCCACTCGGAAGTGTAAATTTTTTTTTCTTTAAAGCTTTTTATTTGACAGTCCAAAAAAGCTTTTTTCTTTTTACTTTTTACTTTTTAAAAGAGCAAAAACAACCTAAAAAAAGACCTGTTGCTTTAATATAAATCATTGATAGCGCAGAGTAATTCTTTATAAAACACTTGATCTTGTCTGATCTTTGAAAATACCCCTTCTTCTCTTTCTCACTTTTATATTTTCATACTTTTACACACACACACGCGCACACACACAAATTTATAAACAATGGGAGGGTAATGTGTCTCTTGGGTCTTGCCCACACAAAATTTTTTCTTTTTACTAAATATCCAATAGAGTTACTATTGCACATCAACCCGTATCCACGACCGAAGTGGTCGAAGACAATTATTACCCTACCACTGACTCAGATACAGCAGCTGAGAACGAGCAGTACAACCAACTGTTGGTTGCTGCTGCTGCTGCTGCTGCCGTGGCTTCTAATGAACAATGGTCCGAGAACCTATCTTCAGTTGAAGATTTAACAAGTGAAGTTCAAGAGTTAATGATGAGGTACAGAAAAAAAAATTTTTTCTCATATGTTTGCTTATTGTGAAACTATAAATAGAGAATCCATTAATTCCTGGCTTCAACCATGGATGGCTGAAAATGCCGCTTGTCTCGCAGAGTTGGATAACCAAATATATGCTCAGTCTATTCAACTTGAAGATCTGTTCAGTCAAGATGACATGAATTTATCATCTGGTATGGTTCAACAATCTTTGTATGACGAGATGACATTTGGTAAAGTGTAGAGATGTCTTTGGTTTCATTATATGATCTAATGCCTACATTAGCTCCTGAAGACATGTCATTGACTATGAGCGCACCCACCTCTTCAGCATCTTCACCCAACACATCTGCTCAAGTCAGCCCTGTCGTTTACCCTCTTACCACAGATGACATCCAAGTGAACATCGAACACGACGAAGCAATTGAAAGATTAGATGAACCTATCAATGTTCTGAAGCGTAGACGAAGTTCTACAAGTTCTGATGATTCTACAGACGATGATTCTTCATCAGCTGAAGAAGACGACGATCAAGATGACTCTGATTCTGAAAACGAAGACGTCGTTATCCCTACTACCGTTGCAAACTTGAACAGTCGTCGACGCATGAGTTACTCTTCTGAATCTGATTCTGAGGATGAACCTACAATTCACAGACGCTCTCGTGCCTGTTCTCCTATAGCTAACCCTTACATGTACATGCACAAACGTCAAATTGAAGAAACCCTGTTGGATCGTATCACCAATAGCTTGCATCCTGACAAACTACCTGGTATCCTGTCCATCCTGGCATCCGAAAAACCAGATCAGCAGGAAGATGAGGTTGAAATCGATTTGTCGTGTCTGGCACGCGAACAATTGGTTCAAATCTTGTTTTATGTTGATGCCTGTATTGTAGAGCAAAACGGTGGACCTGCGGTAAACATTGATGATTTTGTCATGGAAAAGAAGTCATCCAAAAAGAATAACCGTCCCGTTCAAGAAGAAAGAAGTCGTCAAACCAAGTCACGTAGAGCGAGAAGACCAAGAAAGCCAAGAACTAAGAGCAGAGCAGAACTCACCGAAGACTTGGACGCTGACTCTTCCTTGAGTGAGGACGATTGTGATCCATTATCTGTTGATAATGTCGTTAGTCTTGGTGGCCCCATCTCCATGGCCTCTCTGACAAAGAAGCATAAATCCTCACGACCTCCAACATCTACCACAAAGAGCGGTCGAAGAAAGGCTAGTAAAGGAGGAAACAAGCATAGAAATCGTCGCAAGTCTGAAGATGATGAAGACGTGTCCTCTTCTGTTACTGTCATCCAAGATCCTAGTAGCATTGCTTCTTCAAGGCCAAAGAGACGTGCTGCTATTCATAAACGCCGATTATTGGAGCAAATGCTTGCTCCTTCTGATGGTGAGAGTGAAGAAGATGCCGAAGACGGCGTACTCGTTGTGTACAGTGATGAAAAGATGGACTTTAACGTGGTTGATAATTGCACTATTGTGCATTCATCTGAGCCTATCCCAGTACCAGTGAAAAAGGAAGACATGATGGCTATATCAAATAATGCTGATGAAGAAGAAGATGAAGAAATCGATATTTTGTTTTAAATCCTTTGCTTTTCTTATTATTCTTGTACATTTCTCTCTTTACATAACTTAATCATCCCCATTTTCATCATGACATACTCACATATATATATCTCTTCTTTTCTTAGCGCGCAACCCATACAAAAAAGTATTCATTGTATTTAATCTTTGAAAAAGTAATTTTAAAATAAAATCTCTAGACGACGGCATGTTACCATATAAAAAAATCTCAGATCGATTTTTAAACTTACCCGACACTCGGGGGGCAAAGACTATCTCTCTCTTTTCTTTCTTTTATGACAGGATCAAGTTTACCTTTTATTTCACGTCGTTCTACTGTCTATGGTACTCATGCCATGGTTGCTAGTTCGTAAGTCAAGTCACTTGTATACATGGGTGAATTAATACATTCACATACATACACACACAGGCAGCCTCTGGCAACTCAAGCAGGAATTGAAATTCTCAAAAAAGGAGGAAACGCTGCTGTATGCAATAGAATTATATAAAACTATATAGTAACATTCATTGTTTTATTTAGGATGCAGCTGTTGCTGTTGGTAAGCGATTTATTTGTTTGTCTGCATTAATTTAACTCACAATACACGATAGCTGCTGCCATTAACGTAACAGGTATATTACATATAGCTCATATTTATTTATGTTGACATCTATTTCAAGAGCCCGGGTCTACTGGCATTGGCGGTGATGCATTTTGCTTATTCTATGATGCTAAAGCTCGCACAGTCAAAGGACTCAATGGCTCTGGAAGGCGAGTTCTCTCTCTCTTTTGATAATCTTGTGTTGACTAACATGTATCGTAAAGGACGCCTGCGAAGCTTACCATGGAATTTCTAAAGAATGAAGCCAAATTGACAGATGAAAACGCATTTACCAGAAGCGTACATGCTGTCACTGTTCCTGGTGCTGCTGCTGCCTGGGTAGATACCGTAAGCCATTTTGGATCTGGCAAACTGGATCTGTCTACCATTCTTGAACCGGCTATTGACTTGGCAAAGAACGGGTAGGAGTGAAACTTTATCTTTTTCCCACACCAGGAACTTATTCTATCTTCTATATAGCTTTCCTGTATCACATATATCTGCAAATGGGGTAAAGTAAATTCCAATGTGACCATGAGTCATGATTAACTTTTAGATGCATTAGTGGAAAGGGGAAGTGCAAAAACTTGTTGAGAAAAATCCAAATCAAAAGATCGAATGGTTGATTGATAATGAACGTGCGCCTCAAGAAGGTGAAATAATGATGGTGCCTGAGCTGGCAGAGTAAGTTAAGAAAATGAAATTAAACAACACAAGTGCTTACTATAACAAATAGAACATTTCAACTACTTGCTAAGCATGGAAAAGAAGGTTTCTATGAGGGTCGTATCGGCCGAGCCATTGTCGAAGCTGTTCAGAGCCGAGGTGGTGTGATGACATTGGAAGACCTTGCTGCTCATACGAGTGAGCTACTCGAGCCTATCTCCCTTGACTATCATAACTGGACCATTTGGGAAATCCCTCCTAATGGTCAAGGTATCACTGCACTTATTGCCCTCGGTATCATCGAGGCGTTGGAAGAAAGTGGTGCAGTGGATTTTAGCAAAATAGAACATAACTCTGCTACATATGTTCATGTTGTAACAGAAGCTTTGCGAATTGCTTTTGCTGATACAAGATACTATGTGACTGATCCTCAAGTTCATCATGTTCCTACAGAGGCACTCTTGAGTAAGGTAAGCAGTCATGTTTAAAAGAGAGGAATTGCAAAATAAAAATTGTATAATACACAGGAATATCTCAGGGAACGCGCCAAGCTTGTGGACTTGTCCCGTAGAAATGATGAAATTCAAAAAGGTTATCCTGAAGGAAACGGAAATACGGTCTATTTTTCAGTGGTGGACGAAGAAGGCAATGCGTGCAGCTTTATCGTAAGTTTTTTGAAATGACATATAGACTACTTCTAACGATAGCCGATAGAATTCTACCTTTATGCATTTTGGCGTAAGGCTCGTTTTGGCAGCTATATAAAACTATTTAACATACTTTATCTAGTCTCATATCATTGCCAAGGACACAGGCGTTGTCCTGCATAATCGTGGCGGAAATTTTGTGTTGATTGAAGGACATCCAAACTGCGTAGGTCCTAGCAAGCGGCCATATCATACCATCATACCATCCATGATAACACGCAAAACAGGAAATGGTCATGAACTCGAGGCGTGCTTTGGAGGTATGTACACAACGTATTACTATTAATGAACTCACATTCGCTTTTGCAGTCATGGGCGCCTTTATGCAGCCACAAGGTCAAGTACAAGTCATCTTGAACATGAAGCATTATTTGTCAAATCCCCAGCATGCACTTGATCTTCCAAGATTATGTGTTGCACCTCCCAAGGGAACCGCAGGAGTCAGTGCAAATGCTTATTCATTCACTGAAGTCACTGATTCTGTTGTTTATTTGGAAGATGGTATTGAGGATGACGTTGTAGAAGAGCTGGAAGGAATGGGTCATATCTGCTATCGTCTATCTGGTTACAGTCGTTCTCTGTTTGGTCGTGGTCAGATTATTCGCTGCAAGATTGATGCCAGAACCGGTCACAGAGTTTTGGCAGCTGGAAGTGATCCAAGAGGTGATGGTCATGCATCTGGTTGGTAATAGTCGATTTCTATCACCCTTTCCTTCTATACACTTTCCTCCCTTTCTCTCAAGATAAATACAAAGAAACAAACATCTTAATCAAAGCTTATACTAGAAATAGTAAATCTTGATAATATATAAAGTACCCTTTCTCAAACGGTCATCATTGAATAAAGACAGTTTTGATGAATAGAAATATGACATGAAGTAGCTCTTCATACAAAATATGCAAACTGAATTGAGCATCTGGATATAAATTCTTACAGTAAAGCTCACTATGTATACGTGCTTTGCTTTGTTGTCTACTGTAATATTCTACTGCAACTCTAGTTCTGCGCATTTAGCAAACTTAACCGCATACTCCAATTGAAATGTATATAATCTTTGCATCTTTTATACAAACACTTTCTTTTTCAGCCTCTTTTTTCTAATACATCCATATTTCATCGAAAAACTGCCAATTTATTTTGCAAAAGAGCAAAATGGTACCGGAATCACTGTTAACAATGTCATTTACATTTATTGTAGCGCGACTTTTAAAGAGATTTATTTCTTCTATAAACATCAAAATTAAGATGAGCGACGTCTGTCCATCAAAAACATGTATAGTCCTTACCTTGTTGGCTTCCTCTTCAGCCTTATCACGGGCACGCTTCTCACGGGCACCGAGAGTACGAGCAGCAGAACGGGCGTAACGAAGCTTCATGTAAGCATTGACCTTCTTTTCTTCGGCAGTGATCTCACGGGCTTCAGGGGCAGCAGCAACTTGTTCAACAGGGAAGAGAGGTCCACGGAATTGAACAGCAGAAGCAACTTCAGCAGCTTCAGAGTCACCCTTCTTGGGCTTACCAGCCTTGCGAGGGAAGACAATAAGCTTAGCCTTGTAAGCCTTTAAGCGTTGAACGTTGAGTTCAAGAGATTCGTTGGATCTGTTGCGACGACGGTGGTCAACAGCAATACCGATAGAACGAGCTTCCTTACGACGAATGCCAGCTTCCTATAATCCTTTGTTAGCATTTCTCTAATGTCCACTGTTTGATTTACCTTGAGTTCCTCGAGGGTGAAACCACGGCCTGCTCTTAACTTCATGTTGTAACGGACAGTAGGGCAACGAACGGCAGGACGGAGGAGACCGTCGATGGGTCTGGGGGCGATGCGACCAGCCTTTTGAACACGCGCAATTCTTCTAGACTTCTTACGACCGGCTTGATCGAACCAGGTCTTAACACGGCGGTCCCATTGTTTGCGGAAGTGCTGGTTAGGCAATTGGTTGTTGTGCTTCAAAACCATTGTCTGCAAATGTTGAATTCAAATATGTTGAAAGGTGAATATAGAAAAGAAAAGAATCAGTATTTTTGCAAATCACTCGGGCTTTTTTTATCCTTTGCTGTTATAATAGATGATGCATCTTTATAACAATGGATTATGCTATGGATGGTTGGATATACGTACGGATTACCTGTGAGGGAGGAAAGAGAAAGATTGGCTATGGACACAGTCCTTGGAAGCACCAATACCTTCTCCTTCAAAGTCCGTCTGGGCGTATAGAGTTGTCAAGCACCGATTATCTCCGGGCCGGAAAGGGGGAAAGCCTTTCATCTGCTGACGGGCATAGAATGATAAAAAGGGAAAACAGTACCATGTATTTGAGATATGCTATTTTTATGTTTATTTCTAATAGGAAAAGAGAGAAAGAGAATGATACAAAATAACAGGGAGGGGATGCATATTATTTATATATATTTAAAAATAAAGAAAACGAAAATGACATGAACAAGTAAAATAATTTAAACTAACAAGACAGCATTGATACAGCCATCATTTTCAGGATTGTTGGTAACTTGAGCATATTTACCCCAGACAACCTTACCACTGGTTGTCACTAGACCTAATTCAGAGACGTTCACTTCGAGAACAGTACCTTTAGTGATCACACCAAGTTGGGTATATAAGGGAGATTGAGGATTCTTTTTGACACCAATAATAGGCAAACAGAAAGTAGCTTTTAGTTCGGGATGTGTAACATGTGCCTTCTTGTAACGAAGTGCCATAGGACGAACAAATCGTTCATACTTTGGAGGCTTACGAGTGAAGCCTTCACCAACAAATGTAGCTTTTGTGACCAAACGTTTCCATTGCTTTGACTTGCTTTTACCCGTCTTCATCACCTTGAACATTTCATCTTCAGCAATACCTCTCACCTTGGGCAGAGGAACAGCCCATTTGCCTGCCTTTTCCTTTCTCTTTTGCTTCACCATATTACTCAAAATCTTGGCACGATCTTCACCCTCACGATCCAAAAGATAGGTAGGAACAGCACCATCCGGTACGGCATCGGCTGTCTTTTGCTTGGCATTCTTTTCCTCGTGCTGCTTGATAGTCTTCTTCATTTGAATCTTTTCAGCATGACGTTTCTTATTATGCAATTTGGCCTTAAGACCATGAAGTTTTTGTGCTATTTGAGAAGACTTGTGCGCCATACGAGCTTCTCTCTTACGTCTATATTAAACAGTTAATCATTGTTGTTGTTGTAATTGTTGTAATGATCTTACTTTCTCTCTTCATAATCGAGACGACGTCCATGACGCTTAATGTGCTCTTCAATATGTTCGTTTTGAGGCTAATTATATGAATTAGTCTTGTTCTTCTTTTATACTCTTAAATATATTTACCATTCTTCAAGATCAATAAGGAAAGGGGGGAAGGATAAACAATAAAAAAAAGTAATGAAAAAATTGTTAAAAAGCTTAAACAAGTGACTTGCTTTCGAAAAGAGTTTTCATTGGTCAATTTATTTTATGAACATGATTTGCGTTTAGAAGCATTGGAGTTTGAATGCATCCCAGGCCTCGTTCAAGGTGGCAAATATTCCACTCGCCAACATCTTTTGTTCAACTGAAGCATTGGATGGAAGCTATTTTAAAGGGAGTTAATATCTTCACTTAACTCTTGTTTTTTTTTATTTACCTTATCAGGGTGAACTTTTGATATGGCCTTCATATAGATAATCTTGCATTTTTTAACATCAATCAAGTCACTCATCTGGGCACCTTTCCATTGTGCTTCAGGCCATAATAAAGTATCCAAAGTAGCTAGTAAAGCTCTTAAATTTTGTTCTTTACCGGCTTTCCAAGCAACCAATCGGGCATTAATATCGTCCGTCTTTGACAGACGCTCAGCATCTTCCGCTTCCTTTTCAGCTGCCTTTGCTCGTATTTCAGCTACTGCCTTGCTCTTGCTTAATTCTTCTGCAGATACCGTAGGCTCTTTTACTGTTGGTGCAGAAGAAGGGTCAAACATGGACATGAAATCTTGCTTCTTTTCTGGTGCTTCAACTCTTGCTGTCGGAGGAGATCTTGTTGGCTTTGGATTCAATGCTTGTCGGCATCTAGACATACTTTGATTGGTTTTGACATTTCCAGAGCCCTCTACCTTGACAATTTCTTCGTACACGTTCAACGCATCCTTGTATCTTTCTATATTTTCTAGCGCTTCCGCCTTTCGGTTAAGTGATTTCAGTAGCTGATCGCGCCAGGAGATGGCTACACCTTCTGAAACATCACTGCCTTCACCGCTCTCTTTACATAGCGTAATAGCCAGATCACAATCTTCTATGCATTTTTTATAGTCGCCAATCTTTAAACGAGCCATAGCTCTGTTATTGCAGAGAATAACTTGATGATCATGTCCAGCAGGAAGTAGTTCAATCGCTCGCGTATAGGCTTCTTCAGCCTCTCCAAATTGTCCTAACTTGTACTTTTCGTTTCCTTGTTCTTTCGCTTGCTTCACTTTGGCAATGATATCAGCTGACGCGTTCACCACAGGTCGTGTGCGCTGTTTAGGCTTAGGCGCAAATACGGTAGATTCTTGTCGTACACTACCGGCCATTGCTGACTGAGGCGTAGATCGGCCGCTCGATGTTGGTGTTGGTTTACGACGAGACGGCGACACGTACACTGACTCATCTTCATCGCCTATCAATGCTCGTGTCCTCGGTTGCCGTTGCTGTTGCCGCATTTTAGGAGTTCCAGAAGCACTCCTCACTGGCTGTTCTGGCTTCTTTTTTTCATACACCATATCATCATCAGCGAATTTTTCAACTGACGCTGTCGACAGGTCTACCGTCTCATTCTCTACTGTCATCCATTTAGGTCGAACAGGACCCTTTTGCTGTTCTTGCAATTGTTTCAGTCGCTGAACACGCTGCTGCTCTTGCCAGTCCCCAACTGCCTTTGTAACTCTTTCACGACCTAGCTTAATAAAGGATGCTGCGTTTTTGTATAGCATGCCGCCCAATTCTTGCGCTTGTCCGACAATCTTTTCAGTTTGGACGTGTAACATGTCATCGACCCCTTGACGTTGTTGTTGTTGGCCATTGGATTTTGTTGTAAACAATGCGTTACGTGCTTGTTCAGTAGGTGATGGCTGGTGTCTATTGTTGTGACTATTGTCTGGTATTCTTGATTGATATCGTTGAGCGGGTTCAGAACTTTGCATTAATAGGTCAATGGCAGCTTGTAAGTCATGACCACCTGTGGCTTCCATGGCAAACTTTGACTGCTGCATGCTGAAACCCATATCTATAAGTCTCGCGAGCATTTCGTCTTCTTCTTCTTCCTTGAGTGTATCCTGATGTGATAGTACTATTTCTGGCTCATCCAATTGTGCACTTGGTTCATCTACTTCAAAGTCTACAGGCATGGATTGAACAGGTTCTGCCAAGATACCAAGAGGATTATCCTCATCGTACCCTATATGCTGTACATAACTTGATCCGTTTGCTGAAACTGTCTGTGACTCTTGAGTAAGGTCACCAAAAATATCGTCACCTATAGGCACTGTATTGCTACTCTTCTCAGCTGGCAGTGTATCTAGCAAATCAAAGTTCCATTGTTCACTACTCCCAGTCGGTGTAGGTGTAGTTGGTTTAGCATTATTTCTCCTATACATATATGATATAATTAGTCATTTAGAATAAGAATAGCATAAAAGAAACCTACAGTTGGTTCAAAGGCGTGCTCTTGCCCGAGTTAGATTTGTTTGAAGTTCCAAATGGGTTTAGTAAATCGTCAAAAGAGACAGGTTTACTCGAATGCGTTGAAGCAGGCTGAGAAGGAGGAGGGGTAAGCTGTGATGGAGTATGTTTGGTAGGCGTTAAGGGCTCACTACGAGTTGCAGTAGCCCATGCTTGGTGCTGATGTCTCTTTTGTTCTGCTAATGAAGAAAGTGTCGGCTTTTCATCTTCTTTTGAATTGCTGCCAATAGCTAAAAGGTCAGCAAAGGCGTCCTTTTTTTGAACCGATTGTTGTTTTTTGTTATCTTTTAGTTTAGAAGTGGTAGATGACCAGTTGAGATCGAGTAAATCTTCCATAAGAGAAAAAGAAACAAAAAGAAAAGGTAATATCGATATAATTTAAATTGATCGATTATATTCCCAAATGGAAATTAATTGTTGTATTTTTTTGTAGGTGTTGTCATTGACGTATGCATGATAATCATGGAAATAAAATGATAACAAAGGCATATAAGAAACACAAATAAAACCATTAAACAAGTATATATATATATATATATATATATATATATATGTATATGTGTATGTATGTGTACATATGCGTCAAGAGAGGTTGTTTTGTTTATTATTGTCTGATTTAAATAAATCCAATCTAATGATGATGATCATCGAGCTTTTGGAAACGAATACCGCCTTGTGTGTAAAAAAAGATATATGTTAGTCGATTGTCAAAGTATATACACCTTCACTTACAATAACCACATGCTTGAGGTCCAGAAGCATCCAAATTGATATACACCTTAGGGTGACCCAAAGGTCCACCACCTTTTTCAAGTAAATAAGTCATCTTTCAAAAGTACAGCTATTACTACTATCCTTACCGCCGTCACAGTGAGCAATACGTTTATTGACAAATCTGATAGGTTCTTCAGCGATGAGTTCAATAGCGGCCATAGGATTAGGCTATACATATAGACATAATTTAATAATTGTATGCTGCTTCATTCGATCATCAATTTACCTGGGTACTGAGATCCATTTGCTCAAATCGTGGACCTTTTAAGGCATCAGCTTTAGCACGTTGGGTCTCTGACCAGGTTGTTGCACGATTCGCTGCTTGTTCAACTGTAGGAGCAACAGATTTTGCAGTGGGTTGAAGGGAAGTTGTGTAAGAAGCGGTCAAGCTCTTTAATGTGATGTTGCGTAAGTTGCTTGAAGTAATGCGCTGAATGGGCTGTCGAAGCATGGTCTAGAGAAAAGCTTGGTTAAAGAGGCACACCCCGTTTAAAAGCAGCAGCAGAAAAAAAAATAATGATGACGCCAGTTTCGGGTGTTAAATTGCTACAAAATTAACTTTGATTTCATTGGCTTACCGATCTATTTAACTTCCATTATGCATTTTCTGAGAGATCATTCATGGTGAAAGCAACCTTTACTATGAAATTTAACAGAGTCGTATAATTAAAATGCTAGTACTATTCATTGTTTCCAAAATAATTTACGGGATGTCTTAGATAGTACCTTCTTTGAGAGGAATAGATGGAATCTATCCCCAAGTAGCTACTTCTACAGGTAGAACTCCAAGTCATCGAAAGCTGAACGTATATTTATCTTGGGTGTGCTCTAATCCTGTTGAATAAACTGAATTTGGGCAACGATGCTCTTCGATTCTCCTGTAGACCTATTCATGTTACAACCACGACAGAAAATATATCTCAGATAATCATATATAGGTAAATTAAAAAGAAGCCAACCTGACATTCCTCTATCTTATCACACATTTTATGCTCTTGATTCATCTTTTCATTGACCTAAAATAGTGTCAAAACTTAATGAACAACCAAAGGGCCCTGCATGATAATTAAATGACATTCTTTGTGCGTCGATTACTTCGCATATATAGTTTTCTTGAGCTCTTTTGCCACAGTTGCCTGTTTTTTGTTTTCTTCAATTAAAAGATACCTTGCTCGTACATTAAAGTTTACGACTTGGTTGTGTTTACCCAAGCTAATTAAGCTATATATATTCATTTATTGCATAATATTGATGAATCCGGAGCTTATTAGTTAAATTGAACAAGGATTGTAGTTTCAAAGACTCTTTGATGACACTTGGATAGCATACATACACAAAGACATACACAATCTATAAGATAGGGCCAAACTACATATATACCATTCTATACTTTTATTTCTAATGGGCCTTATTATTCTTTTAGAGCCATAATTGATGATGTAAATAATTATCAGCAAGCACAACTACTTGCTTCTTCTTTCCTTGTCGATGTGTCTGTCAAATCAACCTTGGTTACTATCGGACGATAAGAATGGTTATTGTTATGAAACATAACATATATTATTATACATCTTACATTGTTCTTTTTGTTCATCACTAGCATCATTTTCCATTCCGGGTAAAGCATGACCAATCTTGCGGAATAGTGCCTTTACCTATTCACTATTTAATATAATGCTCTAAATACAATAAAGTACGTTACATTATAACCCGCTTTTGCACTTGTTTCTATAAACATGATATTATAATCCCTCGCCTTCTTTTCTCCTTCTTCCACAGTCACCTGCCTGATGATTGTCAATCACTGACTATCAAAAAGAGACAAAGCATGTACCTTCTGTCATTCAAGTCCGTCTTATTACCGACCAATACAATGATTACATCTGTCCCTCTTTCTGCTCTAACATCGTCGATCCATTTTGATGTGTTCAAAAAGGAGTTTCGGTCTACGGATTTGGATAATGTAAACAAAGGACATTCCCCCTTTTTTTTTCCCCTTTAACCTACTTGTTATATCATAAACAACCACACACACTGAGGAATCTCTTATATAACTTGGAATAAGTGAACGGAATCTTTCCTATATTGATATATTAGTCATTGCACTACTTGTTTATACCAATTACCTGTCCAGCAGTATCCCCTTTTTTATGTGTTAATTAATGAAATAAATGATCATAATAACATGAACTTACATAGTTGAAGGCGTATTGTTCTATCATCCAGGTACATTGTCTTTGATAGAAAATCAATACCAATTGTCGCCTAATTAATAAACCATGTTGAATATACAGCATCATATTTCTAATCATTTATTTACTTGATAGGTATTATCAAAAGTATCATACATAAATCTTGTTATAAGCGAAGTTTTACCAACTATAATGTATATATATATATAAATATATAGTCGCTTGTAATAATAAAGCTGACATTACCACTTTGTTCACCAAGGAAGACAAGCTTAAACTTTTTCAAGGGATTACCAAAGTCATTATTCGACATGATGTAAATGAAAGGCAAGGGTTTAAATGACAGAGAAAGAAAAAGAAAGAGAAAAGGGAAATAAAAATAAAGGGATAATCTCCCTTCAGTAGTGTAACCTGACTTACTTACAATTACTCCTTACACACACACAAAAGTATTTATTGTCACTCCCTTTTTCTTTGTTTTATATTTTTCAATGACTTTTGATTTCTCGGTTCAATACAAAAATGTTGTCAGTTTTATTTTCAAAATCTATAAACAAAACTTTTTAAGCTTCCCAAGAGGAGGTAGCAGGGGCAGCAGCATCTTCAGCCCAGTCAGTGGTGGGTTGAGCAGCAGACCAGTCAGCGGCAGCGGCAATACCGGCAACACCTTCAGCATCACCTTCAACACCCCATTCGGCAGCAGCGGCTTCAGGGTTGAATTCGCCTTCAGCTTCAGCAGCTTCGTTTTCCTTTTCAATTTCCTCAGGTTCACGGTAGAAGAACATATCGACCATGACGTCCCAAGGAGTGGTGTAGTCCAAAGTACCACGGAGACGGAGAACGGCACGAGCCAAGAGCCAGTAGATCAAACCGATGGCGTGCTTACCCTTGTTGTTGGTAGGGATGGCAACATCAACATATTGAAGAGAAGCATCAGTGTCAGCAAGAGAGATAACAGGGATGTTGACATAAGAAGCTTCCAAGATAGCTTGGAAGTCAGAGCGAGGATCGGTACAGATGATCAAGCGAGGTTCACGGAAAGAACGGGTGATGTAGTTAGTGAAGGTACCGGGAGTGAAACGGCCAACAATAGCTTCACAACCAACGTACTTGGCGAACTTCAAGGCAGCACGGTGACCGTAGGGACGGGCAGAGACAACAACAATGTCTTGAGGCTATATTTATCAAGTTAGACTCTTGTTTCGTATACATTCACTTAAACTTACGTTCTCAATAGCGGCAATGACACGAGCAGCGAAAACGATCTTTTCCCAAGTCTTACCGATGTTGATGAGGTTGATACCTAGACAAGCCCATAAGTATAAACTGCTACCCTGTTAACCCTTGTCTATTTTATATTACCATCAGCACGGCGCTTGTAGATGTAAGGAGCCATGCGAATGTTGGCATTCTTGGTACCCATGTGACATTTGGCACTCAAAAGGAGTTGGATGTCTTCTTCGGTAGGATTGAGAACGCTAGGAACACGAGACATTATCTAAACCAAGTTGATGGTATATTAGCGTATCATGCGATGATGGATGGATGCATACATTACTTGATGTGCAAGAAAAGAGAAGGTTTAATTCGATGCGTGAATTCCACTGTTTATGACAGTTTCGAGCTTGTCAAATGAAATTCAATCCCCGCCGAATATCCCAGTTGTAGGCTGTTTATCATATTTTCAATACGCGGACAATAAATTTCAGTTTGCACTTTGATTTTTCCCAATTTGCGTTATTGTTAAAAATGTACTTTATTTAAGCGTTTGGGAAAAACGTCAATAGAATACTGTATATAGCTTCTAATTGCACTATAAGAAATAATATTACATGATTCAGCAATTATAAAATGCAAATCTTATTTATCACTGAATTGAGAGCGTCTAACATTTTGTTTAACAGAAGACCAAAATAGCAATGTTGCTGAAAAGATGACAGAGGATGTGGTAGCTACCCAGTCTTGGTACCGAAAGTTTTTCTAGCTACCACCAAGTTACCATGGTTTCCTCATCCAAGAAGCACGCATAGAAAGATGTAGAGAGTGTAGATTACAAGAAATAATTTTTTTATTGTTTTTCTGAGCATAATGACATGCTTGATATGAATCATTATAACATTTCATAATCTTACAGTAGAGCATACATTCTACTTTTCTCTATCGTATCTGATAAGAATAACTTATAATGATAATAGCTACTAGTACAACAGCAATAATATAAGCATAAATAATCACTAGCAACATTAATATAAATAACAGTCATAGATTCTCTCTTCCTATAAAACGCACACGCGTCTTATTTTAATCATATTTAGCTCTTTTTCATAAAGAATCTAATTTGCATGTTATCGGCCGTTCATACGACAATAGGCGTTGGCTCCACTCCAACTCTGGATGCAGTTTCTTTTTCAGTAGAATCAACAAAAAGCCGCAATGCCAGGTTTCAGCCGTGTTGGTGTTGATCTTGAGGGAGATGGTAATATTCTTCAAATGTGTTTGAGTTCAGGCTCCAGTGGACAAGGAGCTTCACTTGTTGTATGGATGCACTTTTTTGTACTGCCTTCATGCTTGAAGCTGGCCGGATGGCATAAGCGAAAAAGACATTTGTATTGATACATGCGTCTTGCATAATCTTTCTTTAGCCAGGGAAGCAACAGTGCTTGGTTGTATGGATTGCCATGTAGTACTCTCGTCGTTATTCAATTTCACCAAGGACAATTTATGATCGACGTTCAAGTGTGATCTTTGGTATTTGGTGAGATTGTAAAATTTCCAGAGTGTATAGACAGGGCATCTATTTTAATTATCAATAGCATTCAATTTTGATGTCTTTGCTGTAATCTCCTTAGGCTGTCTAGCAATAAGAGTTACTCCTGTGAGTGTATCCGTTTCGTGGATCATGATAAATGCTATGCCCCTAAATTGGGGGTTGTTGATGTCTGAGTAAGGGCGCCACATAGCTGCAATGATAAGCAGCAGAATGATTTTCAACTGCAAGACAAGGAACTCTAATAACAAGGTAATATCCCGTGCAACAACATGGTTAATCAGGACTGCAATATCAAAAATCTCCTTCGAGGTGTTAGGAGATTTTGCATTCTTGGGTTGTTTTACTTCAAAAATCGTAGTGCTAAAGGATGAGGTGCAATTGGAAGTTGATACCGCGCCCACTGTGGATCAAAAATTTTATACAAAAAAGAAATATGAACATAGTTACAAAATCAATCTAGGATCATTTAACGCGCCTAATACAATTGAACGAAAATCTTCTGGTGATGTCGACTTTGTTTGCCTTCGTCTTTCGTCCACAAGTCGGCGATAATTTTTGCCCATTTTACCATCAAATAGCATCATGAGTGGCTTGAGCAGTAAAGTGAACGGAGGAAGGCCATAATCAGCCTTGTCTAAGCTTAGTGATAATAGGCTATCTGTATAATCTAATGAAATATCTGATGAGTGTCTAATCATTTTCATATAAACATTATTTACCAAGATACTCATTTATAATCTTTTCAAGGCTTTTAACCTCACTTTGATTGTAGACATGCTGATCCAATTGCTGTAAAAACAGGGGTTTATCCATGACTTTGATATAATTAGAAATATGAACAAAGCATGCACATATACACTTACTTTTTCTACCAATCATACAACCATCGACCTTTGTAAGCACTTCCTTTATTTGACTCACATCATTAAAACCTCCATTGATCGATATGGGCAAATCTGGAAATGATTTTGCTATTTCAAATACTCTTTTATAATTTAATGGTGGAATACTTCTATTCTGCTTGGGTGATAGTCCTTTGAGGATACACTTTCTTGCATGAAGAATCAAATGGGGCAATGTACCTTTTTGTGTGTGTGCAATTGCTTTAACCTAAGCCATAAAAAAAGAAATTAGCCTATCACTCACGAATTCATATGTATATATTACAAAATCGTAAAGGAATTCAAAAGACTCTTGATGATCAACACCTATCCGACACTTCACTGTCACAGGTATCCGGACATGATGTTTATCCATGGCTGATAGAATGTCCGCTACAATATGAGGTGTCTTCATCAAGACGGCGCCAAACTGTCCACTCTGAACATTGGGGCTTGGGCAGCCAGCGTTAATGTTTACTTCTGAATATCCATAGTCTTGTAGTGATTTAGCTGCTGTTGCCATGGCGTCTGGATCTGATCCTCCTAATTGCACAACAACATTTGATCTCGGTTTTCCAACAAACCGATCTAGATGATCTCTGTGATTGACAATGGCATGACAATGGTACATTTCACTATAGTAATCATAGCGATCTGTGCCTGAAATAATATTTAACAATTCAAGAAAATGCTGTTCATCAAAAAGATCAATAGTGCATATCTAAAGAATGAGATCGATCTTACAGGGGTAGTCACATCCACCATTGGTGCCACGCTGATAGGTCTCGCAAGTCTCGAAGTATGCATATACCTGCATGATGCATGAGTAAGTCTAATTCTAAAAATGGACATGTTTATGTAAAGAAAGGGACAAGAACAAAATTAATCAGAGGGGGCAGTTAAAATATTTCTTCTCAGTCACACACACACAAACACACACAGACACAAAGGTGTCATTCTTGTGCATAAATTAAATACATTGGAAACAATGCTTCAAGAATGATCTTTTTCTCTTTTATTTTCTTTTCTTTTTGAAAATGGATCTAAAAGAAAAACTTGAAGAACTTTCATTAGAGTATGAACACTTTGACTCAATCCCATTAACAGAAACAATCTATGATTCACCTGTTTCTACTGTGGATAAGAATTATGTGAGCAAGAGAAAGGTAAATCACAAGGAGGAGGGGTTCATATTGCGTAGCTGTTGTCTTACTTTTCTAATAGAAAGCTGTTATCACATATCAACATGTTGCTATTGTCATCGTAATGACAATATTCTCCTTTTGGACACGGTTCCGAGAAATTGATAAATCGAAAACAGTAATTTGGGACGAGGTAAGATTATTGATATACCATAGAACTTACCATGCTAAATATTACACACACACAACAAGGCTCACTTTGGAAAGGTAAATCAGTCTGAATGCTTTTTTGGCCTTACTAAATGAATACATAGTTTGGCTCTTACTACCTAAGAAATGAGTTTTATTTCGATGTTCATCCACCTTTAGGAAAGATGCTCATTGGCCTTTCTGGTTACTTGGCCAATTACAATGGTTCATTTCCTTTTGAATCTGGTTCGACATATCCAGATGATATTGACGTTTGTACCATGCGTGTATTTAGTGCAGCGTGGGGTGCACTCCTCGTACCCTTAGCCTACGGTACTGCTCTCAATTTAGAATTATCTTTAAAAGCTTCTATTCTGGCTGCCTCCATGGCCTTGTTTGACAATGCCTTGTTGACCATCAGTCGATTTATCCTCTTGGACTCCATGCTGCTCTTTTTCACTGGCTTGTCTTTCTTTTGTCTTGCCGGATTTCGTATGCAGAGAGATCGGTAAGAATAAAAAGTATATGGATACCTAAAAAAAACCTTATAACCTTTTCAATACAGATCCTTCTCAACACATTGGTGGTTATGGTTGTTCGGCACAGGCTTATCTCTTGGCTGTGTCTTGAGGTAATATTTATATATATATATATATATATATATAAAAGGAGAAAGGGAGTGAAAGAGAGATGTTTAATTCTCAATATAGTGTCAAATGGATAGGCTTGTTTACAGTCGCTCTGGTTGGACTATACACAATTGAAGAACTTTGGGATATGTTGGGCGACATACAGATGCCAAAACTAACATACCTCGCTCACTGGACATCTCGTGCTCTCTGTTTAATTCTGGTACCTATTGCAATCTACGTCGCCAGTTTTGCTACTCATTTTTATATCCTTCGCAACAGTGGACCCAACGATAGTGTGATGAATACACTGTTTCAAGCAAGTCTGAATGGAAGCTTTTATCAGAAAAATCCGGTTCATATCGCATTTGGCTCCAACATCACCATCAAAAGCTTTGGATACGTCGGTGGCCTGTTGCATTCCCATGGGCACTATTATCCTGAGGGCTCGAGGCAACAACAAATTACATGCTACTCGTTCAAGGACTCCAATAATGTCTGGCAAGTGCGACCACCACGTTCTGTAGACGACGATGATGATTACGAAATGTTATGGACAGAGGATGATTCTTCTGTTCGATATGTTAAGAACGACGACATCATTCGACTTTTTCATCTAAACACACGGCGTAACCTCCATAGCCATCCGATCAATGCGCCCATCAATTATAAGCACTGGGAGGTAAGCGCGTACGGAGATGAAGAGGTTGGAGACGTGCAAGATAATTGGAAGATAGAGATGGTGAGAGACGTTAATGATAAAAGGACAGAAAATATCAGAGCACTGACCACAGTGTTTCGTCTACGACATGTCTTTCTTGAGTGTTATCTTGCTTCTCGCCACGAAGTCCTTCCCGATTGGGGATTTAAGCAGCAAGAAGTATATTGCGATAAGGAAAATAATCCTCGAGATAGTCGTACATGGTGGAGTGTTGAAGATCATCATAACAAGAAATGTAAGTTGAACAAAATGTTTAAATTGTTTATTAAAACAAAAATAGTGCCTCCTGCTCCAAAAAACGCTTATAAGCACAGTTTTCTACAAAGCTTTCTTCATTTAAATCTTGTCATGTGGTACACTAATAACGCTCTTGTTCCCGATCCTGACAAGGACGACATCTTGGCCTCTAACCCTAAAGAATGGCCCATGGTCTCTGTTGGTTTACGTATGTGTGGTTGGGACGATGACATGATCAAGTTTTATTTGATCGGTAATCCATCGGTCTGGTGGCTATCATTTGCATCGATTGTTGGGTTTTCTATCGCCATTATCAATTATACCGTTCGTCTGAAACGACAAGTCATTGATATGAGTCCAGGTAAAAGAAAAAATTTATATTTGAGGGGGAGTCAACTGAATGCATATAGCGAGATGGACCTACTTTACCTCAGTGGGCAAGCTCTTTTTCCTCGGCTGGTTTCTTCACTATATTCCCTTTTACATGATGGGTCGCGTGACCTATCTTCATCATTACTTCCCAGCACTTTACTTTAGTCTCTTCATGCCACCATTTCTAATGGATCATTTTTTGAGAAGCAAGTCGAAAAAATTTAAAACGTGCGCCTTTGGCATCGTCCTTGGCCTCATCGCGCTCAATTTCCTTCATTTTGCTCCGTTTTCCTTTGGAATGGAAGGCGACATCAAACAGTACGCGAGCCGTCAGTGGTTTAAGCACTGGAATCTGTTAGAGAACCCAATCTGATAATATAATAAATAATGAATGCTTTATTTATACGGAAACAGACGTATATCAGATGATTTCCCCTTGATAAATATTTACAAATGTTCTATAGAATGAAGCTCGAGGCATGTACAGGTATCCCGTGAGAAGATAAGGAACAACAAAGAGGTGGCAGGTTAGGATCATGATGAGGACAGCGTAAGCTCTTCCCAAGAATCCGTCCGACAAGGATAATCGATCACCGATACTGATAAAGACCGCTTGGCTCACAAAGAAAGAAAATTGAATGAAACATGCAGGTATGGGTGTACCTTGGAAATAAAGAGCAGGGCCTGTGGCAGCGTACAAAAAGTATTCATGCATCAGACCAGACATAACAAAGACAGAGAGAGCAGGTAACCAACGTGGAGGCTTACGGCCCAAGATGGGTATCATGACAAGCCGAATGGGTTGGTATCCAAGACGATAGAAGCACTCATTGTAGTATGTATGCCATCGTCTTGCCCAAAAGTCGCGCAGAGAGTAGGCACACCAAGGTCGATTGAAGGCAGGTGGCATGCTGATTGTTTGTTCGAGATAAACCTTAACAGCTCGAATTCCGCGGATACGCTTCAAGGCGGCTTTTGTCTTTGCAACATCTCTGGTATCAATTGTCTTGTTGCCTAGTTGCCATTTCTCTAGTATTGGAAGTGACTTGTACATGAGTGTAAACAGGATGTTAAATATGTCATAGGTTAGCTGTAGTTGCATTTGGACATAGACAAGGAACAGAATACATGTACATGTGCTAAGTGCAACGTTGCCAAAACTAAACTGTAATTCTGTTTCCGGTGCCGATAAGTTAAAGAACATACCAAGACAGTGGTATATCACGGCTGAGAACAGACGGACAGGTCTATCGAGATCAAGTTGCCGCAGAATGATCTCAACAAGGTCATAAACAATTTGATGCTTGATAGTTGAAAAAATAAATTGGACCAAGGGAAAGTTTATATACACGTGGCTGGGGTGATGATCGACCTTTACGTTTTCAGAGTATCTTACTTTTCTCCATTGAAGAATTGTCAAAGCAAAAGGACGTTGTCGTCGCTCCTCCATGGGCATTGAGAATAACCAGACACCCATTTTCATGGAAGTCCCCCACGACCAAACTGAAGTTGATATTAGGTAAACATAAGGTAGTTTACCGGCGTAGTAGATAGGCACTGATAAACCAATAAGCCATAATAAAAGTAAGCACAGTTCTTGAATTATGCTTCTTTTTTTAACAGGTATAGATACAAGCATAAATATGAAGCATGGCAACATAGTCGTTGCTATGTAACCAACTTTACTAATTGGATAATGTGGTAAATTGACCATAAAAGAAAAAAGAGTGGAAAAAAAAAAATAAAAAAAGGAGGACCCGATTTTATTTTAACTTCCCCTTTTAGATTCAGTTTGATAACGACTAAGAGAAGCATCTTTGTAATTTTTCACGGTAAACAGATATGTGCATATATTATTATTACTATAGATTTAGATCACCTCGTGTTGTACGCTGTTGTTGTTGTTGTTGTTGTAACATAAACATTGACAAAAACACTCCATAAAGGGGGAAGTGGAGTAACTAATTCAATCTCAGCCGAAGCCACCGGAATTTCGAAAATTTCAACGGGCCGGACCTTGTTGTCTATCGTTTTGGGGGGCCCATCTGTGGACATACAGAAACACAAGGGCAAGTATCATTCTAGTGATCCCTCCTCTCTCTTTGACAGATCATCAGCAACCATGGTCAAGTTCATCAAGGCTGGTAAAGTACGTAAATGGATGAATCAATGGATGAACATGAGGATTATAAAAAGAAAAAGAAAGGCTGACGATATCATTATAGGTTGTAGTTATTTTGCAAGGTCGTTATGCTGGCAAGAAAGCCGTCGTTGTTCGCAGTATGTAGTTCATTCTTTTTTTTTTGCTGGAATTGTAGACATGTGGCAGAAACAACAGTGATGCGCAACAGCAGCAGCAGTTTGAGATATGTACACATTATACAATAAATTGTATTAATTATGCATCCATTCAATATAAAGAAGCATATAATAATCATTAATACCGATGCAGCAATGTCAACGCAATTACAGCAAAAAGAAAGAAATAAATTAAGCATGAACAATAGATTAATCCTTTGTTTAGATCACGATGAAGGTACCAAGGAAAGACCCTATGGTTATGCTGTCGTTGCTGGTGTCGAACGCACTCCTCTCAAGGTCACCAAGAAGATGGGTCAAAAGAAGGTTGCTAAGCGCTCCAAGGTTAAGCCTTTCATCAAGATTGTCAACTACAACCACATGATGCCCACTCGGTAATTATATTTACTCTAAAGACAAAGCAATATCTAACCAAGATTGAATGATATATAGTTATGGTTTGGAATTGGAACAAATCAAGGGTACCATCGCTTCTGAAACCTTCAAGGAACCTTCTCAACGTGAAGACGCCAAGAAGCTCATCAAAAAGTTGTTTGAAGAACGCTACCAAACTGGAAAGAACAAGTGGTTCTTTAGCAAGCTTAGATTTTAATTTTTTTATTGTCAATTAAAAAGGACATTATAAAATACACTCTTTTCTCTCTTTTTTTTCTACTACTTTTTACAACATTTAATGAGACAAGAATTTTCTGCCCTTCATACGACGTCTATTGATGATATGTCTACCGTTCTTGGTGGCTAAGCGAGTTAAAAATCCATGTCTTCTCTTACGCACAAGCTGAGATGGTTGATATGTATTTCCACGGGTAACAAAACGCATTTGTGTTGTGAGTACATTTGACAGAGGACTATTTAAATTGTTTTTTAATGTTGATCTTTATAATAATTACTATTTTTTACTTTGAGAACATAGATTGTCCCATCAAAGTGGGTCGAACGGCATTAGTAAGAGAAGAGAATCGTAATGTAGCCGTAGTCAGCAATTGTCCAAACATGATTAAAGAAAATATTTTTATTTTCTCTTTCTCTCTTTTCTACCCCCTTGTCACTGCAGTCCGGAGTTACGCAGGAGGAAATTCCCTTTTTGAAGTCACAAATGCAATTGGTTAAAATACCTCATCTCCTATGCAAACAGATAATACTGAGAGGGCAACACTCTCTTCCCCATGTTCTTCTTTTCCATTTGGTCTCCAAGACTCATTTTTACTTATGCGCAGTGCTGCTAATGTTTGCTCTGGAAATTAAGATTTGTCTGTTTAATGAATAGTTTACATTGAGCTGTCATGATAATATAAACGATACTACTGAATTTCAATAAAGCTTTTTGTTAATCTTTATAGTATCTCAGTTAGAACAGCAAAAGGGTAATCATTAATGTAATTTAAAAGAAATCAATTGTGCTCTTTCACAAGAATACGATGATGACCTTACTTTTTTTTCTTTTTCGAAAATGCTTTCAGGGCTGCACGAGTATAAATTCTTTTGCTAAAATAAATAAAAAAAATATCCATATATCCAGTTTTTACGTCATAAGAGTAAAGTGTAAGTGTCGCTTCATATATCGACATCTTCATTTGCAGTTGAATGCATTACAGGATTAGAAAAGTATACTCATTTTGAGTACAAAAACTTATTGTTTCGATAACAAACAGATTATCAGTAACAAGATCCATGGGATCATCAACATGTCCAGCTCTGTATATTCATTTTGAATGTCTGTAAAAAGAACTACTCAGGGGCATCATTTTTGGGCGCAAACTCTATGTGGCTTACTTGGGAATTGTAGCACCAAAGTATCCAAGGAAATTTAACTTGTGCAATTACAAAACATGGCCGTCACAAAAGACAAAACTGGTTAGGAGTGTGCATTGTTTGTTTTTTTTTGTCTCTTTTTTTTATTTTATTATTATTTTTCATGAGCGCTGAAAGGACTCCACTATTATTTCCTGTAAATTCACAGACAGGAGGGTCTGTCGTTTCTTATACAGTCACTCAAAAGAACTGTAAAAACGTTACCTTGAAGGATCGTTCTGAGGCTCAATCGACAAAACGGAAATTATGGTTTGCTGTGGCCTTGGCTTGTGTATTCTTTGCTACTGAATTAGTCGCAGGTTATTTTGCAAACTCATTAGGCAAGTTTTTCTTTAGAGAGAATATGTTGTAATAATAATACTAACAATAACATATAGCCTTGATGTCGGATGCATTCCATCTCTTATCGGACGTAGCTAGTTTCATAGTTGCCTTGGTTGCTATTTATTTAGCCGAAAAACCACCAACGAAAAGTAAAGTAAAAGAAATATATGAGGCCCTAATAACTAAAAATTATCTAGGACATACATTTGGTTTCCATAGAGCCGAAGTTATCGCTGCACTCGTATCAGTCTTGACCATTTGGGTTCTTACTGCCTTTCTGGTAAATGAAGCGATTCAACGTATCAAATCACCTCAAGAGATTAATGCAAAACTGGTAATTCCGGCTTGTTTATAGTTTGTTTGAGAATATATCTAACTTACCAATAGATGTGTATTACTGCTACTATTGGTGTCTTTGTCAACATAATGTAAGGGGGGGAAAGTAAATCAATCATCTCCTGTAATTACTAAGTATCATTATCATAGTCTCGCTTACGTCTTAGGTGGACATCATGGTCATTCTCACGGACACTCTCACGACAATGATACCCATAGTCACGATGATGAAGAAGAAGCAAACCATAACGATATTTCTGCTCCCCACAGGGTATATTTATATTTATATATAAAAATGTATATATATATTCAATACCAATACTCTCCTTTATCATAGGAAACCAACATTAACCTCCGTGCTGCTGCTCTTCATGTCATTGGTGACTTATTAGCCTCAGTTGGTAAGAATAACAATTTGAAACATTTTCTCTTTGTTTAACGTAAACAAATAGGTGTTTTAATCTCATCCATCATTCTTATCTTTAAGCCTGACTATACTATTGTGGATCCCTTATGTACCTTCTTATTCTCTATCCTTGTCTTGTACACCACTTATCATCTCGTCAAAGATTCACTTGCCGTTCTCATGGAAGGTGTCCCTGGTAATATTCACCCAGATTTAATAGAAAAATCACTATTAGGAGTCCCTGGCGTGATTGCAGTTCACGATTTGCACGTGTGGACATTATCACCTGGAAAATATTCACTCACAGCACATATCAAAGTCGACCATACAGCTGACATTAGTTATGATGAAGTATTATCCAAGGGACAACACATTGTCTGTGATGTCTATGGCGTACACCACTCAACACTTCAAATAGAATCTGATAAGACTGCATTTACAAGTCATTGTACTCCTGAAATATGTGCTCCTAGAACTCAGTAAAGAAAAGAACTGTAACCCTATACACACATACACACATATACACATTATACTTGTTCCGCATTTTTTTTTTTTCTCTTTCTTAAAATAACAATGCTATGTTGGATATCATTATAGTATAAAATATTTATAAAATATACTTAAACAAAGTCTTCTATTCTATCCTCGGCAGGAAGTTGATGACTCTTGGCTAATTTTTTGCTTACTTTTTCAGCCTTTTTCCATACACGCAGCAGGTTCTCTCCTGCTAATCCGATCAATTCCTCATCGGTCCATCCACGGCGAGCCAACTCTGCAATCAGGTTGGGATATTTGCTTACGTCTTCCAATCCTACTGGCACCTTTTCAACGCCATTATAATCTGCACCTAAGCCAACACGATGTTTGCCAGCAATGGAAGCAATATGCTCGACATGATTGGCAACATCGGCGACGGTGACTTCCTTGGTAGGATCACATTGCACAAAATTGTTGTAAAAATTGACCATGACCACTCCGTCTGTTTCATCCAAACGCTTGAGCACACTATCAGGTACATTTCGTTCAAGGGGGCAGATTGCATCACTAGATGAGTGGGAGAACAGGACAGGTGCTTCAGTGACATCGAGAACGGCGTGCATGGTAGCATGGGCAACATGAGAGATATCGACCATCATGCCAATACGATTCATTTCCAAAACGATCTTTTTGCCAAACTCGGTTAACCCGAGTCCCTTGGTGAATGAAGGTGGTTGTGGATCACAGCAAGCTTCTGCCCAGGCAGTGTGACAGTTGTGTGTCAACTACGACCTTATTACTTTTACTTAAACACGCACCTTAAATCGACTTACCGTCATATATCTCACACCAAGATCATAGAATAAACGAAGAGCAGCCAAGGAGTTATCAATCATCTGTCCACCTTCGATACCCATCATAGATGCAATACGTCCCTTCTTGAATGCCTTTCTGAATTCCTTTGTGCTCGTCGCCAGCTGAAATGTTTCTGGATAAAGATTGATCATGCGCTTTGTTACATCAATAGATTCCATGGCTTTCAGTACTTGGTTGGATGAAGTATCTTCACAATCATAATAGATGCTCCAGAACACACCAGATACTTGACCCTCTCTAAGTCTTGAAATATCTGTGTGTCCCCAGTTGAGGTGTGTGAGGTTCATGTTGTTGATCTTGCCGTTATACACGAATGCCAGTTCCCTTTTTGTTTTTTTCAATTAATATGTAATCAATTCAAAAGGAGGGAAACTTACATGGGCAAATCATTATGAGTGTCAATCAGTGGGGAATGTTCAAGTATTTTATGAACTCTCTTTAAGGGATCTTTTGTCTTTTGAACATTAAGGAATGGCTGCTGATCAGCAATGACCTGAAAGGAGGAGGCCAAAACCAGCGTAAATATAGCAAAAAGGGACGTTTGAACCATGCAGGGGAAAAGTAAAGAGAAAAAGAAAGAGAAAAAAAAAGAAAAAGAAAAATGGTTTGCTTATTAATCTTTATTTGTAAATCTTTTTGATATCTTCCTGGTAAGCTTTCATAATGTCTTTTCGTTTGATTTTACTACTCGTCGTCATGAAGCCATCCGTCCAGTCCTTGTCTCGAGTGACAAGGATATCCCTGACCACTTCAACTCGATTGCATCCAGAGGAAGTAGCAGTTTGTTGTAATTCTTTTAGAAGCTTATCTTTGTCCACATTGTTATCAGCTGGTTCCACAATACCAATGATGTAGGACTTGTCACTATCTGCGACTAAACAGATGTTTTTAATAGATGAACAGTTACGGTACTTGGACTCGAGGTTCTCTAGAGCGACATATTCGCCGTGAGATAATTTGACGAGGTTTTTGACGCGATCTGATATAGCAAATGTGCCATCAGGGTTTAGCTTAGCAATATCGCCTGTCTTGAACCAACCATCGGGTGTCATGGCCTCCTTAGTGATATCGGGTCGTTTATAATAACCTCTCATCAACGAAGGACCACGTAACCAGAGCTCACCGATCTTATCTTCAGCCTTATAATCTGTATCGGGCACATCCACAAATCGGAATTCGATCGAAGGAGAAGGAGGACCGATGATACCAGTGGTCATACCAAGGCTTGGAAGTGTCACTGCTGCCAAACCACAGCATTCGGTTAACCTATAAAAATTGTTAGTCATATAATTCCCCTGATATGTCCTATTTGTTCTTTACCCATAGCCTTGTAACATGAAACAAAGAGTAGATGTAATAAATTTTTGTGTCTCAAATGAAACAGGTGCTCCTCCCGATAGACAGTATTTTAAATGTCCTCCTGTCACATCTCTAATCTGACGGAATAGTATAGCATCATATGTATCGGTAATCACATTAGATTGGCCAAAAAGCTTGAGTAATTGCCACTTTGCCTCAATAGCCGCTGTATGAAGAATAACGTTAGAAGAAAAAGAAGAATAGTTTTTTTTTTTTTTTTTTTCTTACCATAAAACGCCTTCCTTACTGTCCAATGCTGTTTGTCTAGCTTACTTTCAACACCTTTTCGAATCTTTTCCCATACAGCAGGGACACCTGCCATGATTGTCGGCTTGAGCGCCTCCAAGTCACCTTTACCTTTACCCTGACCATCCCGCCCAGAGACCGAATCGTTCATTAAGGTACGCATACCGCCGTAGCCGATAGGGATGCCCATGCAGATCATGATAAACTCAACAAGGAACTCAAGCACATGAGCCAAAGGTAGGAACCCGATATACCTGTGCTCATCCTTGGATAAAAAGTCAATGACCAAATACTCGGCTGCTCCCATGGCTGCAATAATATTACTGTGGGTCAATTCGACGCCCTTGGGAGCACCTGTAGAACCGGAGGTATACATGATCAACGCAAGATCGTCTGGTTTTGGATGTTCTTTGATGTGGACACTAGGCGACGCTTGAGCAAGGATGTCTTTGTAGGTCGAAATCTTGATATCATCGGATGATTGCCTCTTGAACTTTTTGATTTCTTCTGGTGCTTCGAATTCTTCACCAGCATAAATGACAAGCTTGGGTTGTTCTTGTTTATCAAGGTCTTTATAGGCCTTGTTTAATGTTCCACAAAGCGAAGTCTACAAAATCAAAAGTTAGCTTTTGACAATGAATGTCATTTGTGATGTTACCTCTGTAAAGATTCCCTTTGCTCCCGTCTCTTTGATGATGTGACTCACAGCATCGGGTGGCATGGAATCATATGCGGTGGTAATCACTATGCCTAGAGACAGACAGGCAAGGGCTGTCAACATCCACTCGGCTCTATAATAAATATTAGCCCCGATTATGTTACATATATGTCATGCATATTGATTTTACCTTGTTTTGGAATAGAGTAGAACAATATCACCACGCTTGAATCCGTTGTTCTGTAGAGCAGAAGCTATCTTTTGAACATGCTCATCAGCTTCCTGGTAGGTCATCCACTTGTAATCTTCAAGTTCAAAAAAGGTCCATTTCTTAGGATTTTTATCCTGGTCATCCGAGGACTTTTCTTTTGTATAAATCTACATGTATAGAAATTATAGTTTGAGCATTTTATCGTCAATACTTTTAAAAAACGCTTACATTGATCAATGGACGATAACCGAACGCATGCTTATCTTTTCTTGATTTCACAGTTTCTGTCCAAACTCTTCCGATAATACATTCACTTTCCTTTAGTTTTGGTAAAAGAGGTGTACGCACAAATCCATGTTCGGCGTGTCGACTGCGATAGATGTGTTGATCTGAATTAATGAGAACAGTAGGGTTTTGAGTGGATTGTAGAAAGAGGCTTTTGATGTAATTCATATTAATGAACTAAGAGAAAAAGAAAAAAAAAGGCGATTGTGTCATAGTTGTCTTGGACATTTATACCAAATATGGTGCGTTACACAAGGGTTTGCAGAAGCTTTAAATTCTAGCTTTATTAGGAGGGGGATAATAAATATTAAAAGAAAAGGCTATGAAAAGATGTAGAATACACGAAAGAAAAGGCTAGAGTGTGGCTAAGCTCTAAAGAACCTTTTACCAAGGTTCAACATATTTTTTAGTCCACTCGTATTCTCGTCTTGGTCTTCATGTGCTTGGTCTTCAAAGTAACTAAAAGGATGATGGTCGGATACAAATGGGGTATTATCAGCCAAAGAAGGAATATGAAGTTCGTCACCAGTTGAATATCTTCTTGAATTTTCGTATTCTTCCAATGCCTCGGAGGCTATGACGGAGTCGATATCGGATACTGACCTACTATATGAAGCTTTTATTTAAGCAGGTGCAATATAGTATTTATATTTATTTACTTTTGTTCTTCTTGTGGGTTCAGTGTGTGTAGTGTTGTTCTGTCCGCTTCTTCTTCTTCTTTTTGACCCATGTTTTGTTTTATAAATGACAGTTTATCTGTCAGGTCATTCAATTGGTCATGTAATATCGTCTGAATCGTCGAATTTTCAGGTTGAAGGTTGGATGAGTTGGATAGATCAGGCATTGTCCTTGGAGCATAAAATTCTTTAGATGTTTGCATCTCTTGTACGATAGGGCCCTGTATCTGATTATAATATATATCTTCTCCGTATTGATCCATGTTCTTTATATTTGTATATGTGCAATGGACTGTTTAACAAGCAAAAACAACTAAAAAAAGAATGTAAGGTTACCTTGCTATGCCTATTATAGGCTAAATGAGCAATTTGATCATCTGCTAGAAATTCAGCATCCTCGATACCTTCTTGAATGTCGTATCCATGGATATCGCCATCCTCTAGATCGGTTTCCATCACAACCGGTCGTTCCTGACGTTGTTGTCTCTTTTTCTTTTTTGCTGTCTTTTTCTTGCTGGTTCCAAACGGATTTCTGGTCACAAACTGAGGCAAGTCGTTCTGGCTGAGCACAGACTCAAATTCCCAGTCTCTGGGGTTATTTAAGTAGTTCTGTAGTGCTTCTCCTCGATAAAGAGTATGGTCATTGTAGTAAATGGGTTCGATTAGTGGATCGTCGTCGTCAAGTCGAATGGCTTGTTTCTGGAAACAGCAACAGAATTGTGAAACTGAAGGTAAATAATTTCTCCAAGTCAGGTCAAATGCATGTGGCTCGTCGTCAATGTGTGAAGATGAGCTTTGCTCTAGACAAGATAAAACCATATAGAAATAAAGAAAAAGGGAAAAAAAAGAGAATTGGTTGTTGTGTGTGGGACGAAATTCTTGTAAAAAAAATTAGATAATCACATGTAATCTATCGCATGTATTGTTTCCCTTCACTTCTTTCTTTCTCTCCGCTTAACAAAGACTTTATTATGACTAGTAAAGCAAATGGCTGCATGAGCAGCTGAAAAAAAAAAACCAAATATTTTATACAATAAGCTTTAGTTTAGGAAAAAAGGGGAAAATTCATTTTATTTGGCTTATCCATTGACGTTTTTATCAGGACTTGTTTTTGTGCATAATTGTTTTTTTTTTCGTTTTTTCGTTTTCATCTTTTTTTTTTTCGCTTTCTTTTGTTCACGAATGAATACCTGTTCTTTCTGTAAGAGATGAAAAAGGAAAGAGTGATTATATATAATTGATGTGAGTGTATAAATAGCTCAAGGCAGAAATACAACGGCACGAGCTATGGAAGAAATAATGCATATCCTTCGATGGGACAAGCCATTCAGATCAAGTGTTCTATTCTTGTCTCTCATGAGCATTATATATTTGGTGCAGTCTTATTCTATTGTTCAGATCATCTTGTGTACGCTCACTTTGACTACGGTCATTAACTTTGTTTACGTATATGCTGTCAAATTTTTTCAGAAAATATCAAGTAATACATCATTTAAGCACCCCTTTGTGTAAGTACACCCTACTTTTCATACTCATTCGCTGATATATTTATTCTAGATGTATTCTGGATAACGAAAATCGACCTATATTAAACAAGGAGCGTATCCTGTACTATGTTTCATCTTCAGTGGACCTGGCAGATGCTGTGATAAGAGTCGTGACCAAGATCATACTTGTTGAGAATCCCAAAAAGAGCGCTTTGGTAAACAATAAAATAAGACTCGTCTTGGCATTAACCTTACATAATATAGTGGCTGATTATATTTTTAACAAGTTGGAAAGTGTCAGGACAAATCTCAACCTTTGCTATTCTCAAAGGAATCATAATTTCTGCCTTCATCACGCCTTGTCTTTATGCAAGCAATCAGAAGCTCGTCAATGCGCGTATTCAACAGTTACAGGGAATTATAAACACAGACATTAAGATTGCACAAGAATATGCTACTGAAAAAGTAAAAGAAGTGAAGCACACCTGTACAAAAAAAGCAGGCTCCAAGCAAGAATAAAAATGCTCTCCTTGTGTACCATGACATACCCTTGACACCCTCTATTTTGTTGCCATGGTGATATTAAATAGTAGTGGCTGTAATCAGTCTAAGATTTCTTTTTTTTTTTTATGATCAATTTTTTATTATGAATCACATTGTGTTTTATTGTTTTAAAAATGTAAAGGTTATTATAGTAATAAATTACTTGATGCTACACAAGAACGAGGAGCAAACAATACAGCAACGTCAAAGCAATCAGTCGAAAATTTTTTTTCTTTCTCTTTTTCTTTTTTATTCTTGTTCATTATGACTTCAACTGATAAATTGCCTGATTTTTCAAAGTTTACATTAGAAGACTTTAATCTCAATAGAGGATCACCTGATATAACTCCTGCGCCTCACAGACTACGTGAAGCCAGACGATCCTTTTTGCTCTACTTGGAACCAGCCCCTGACTCATGTTTACATACATCATTTGTTACGTTTCAAGAAAAGACACTTGTTCGATATGGCCCCAATCAGGCTCACAACACGCCACCTCATATATCCATTTTGCCTCGAATACTGATTCAAAGACAGGAAACAGCAGATGTCAAGAGAAAATGGCAGACCGTTCAGGATTTGATAGATTGCATTGACCAGCAAATTCGCTCTCTTCAATTGACTGTGCCTGATTTTGCTGGTTACCAAATACTAGATAAACCCACTCGATCTCTCATCATGAACGTCAAAGTGCATAACGATTATTACACTCTGGTAGAATCAGTTGAATTAGCCATTGGGCCTGCTTGTGCAGTACTAGAAACCCATCTTTTGGACAAAATACATCTCGCTTATAATGTACTAAAGTCACTTTCAAAAGCTGATTTAAAGAAAATGAAGCAAGTGGCAGAGTCTACAATCGATATCTATGATTGGGTCAAATCGGGTGGATCATGGAGATTGACATTGTATGAAGTCATGATCGAAAGTCAAGTCGTAGGTGTTCAGCATCAGTTGAAAGAAGTTCGTTCATGGCCAGTCCAGCCACGTCCACCACAGCAATTTGCTGATCTGTTGCCTGTATCCGTTCGAATCAAGTTACCTTGGCTAAATTATTCTGCTAAAAAGCAAACTCATTCTTCCATCGATCATAGTTCAGGCATATCAAGTAAATCAGCCACATCTTCAAATAATAAAGGACTGCATACCCTATAATCTCTCTCTCGTTTTTAATATAGTTGGTTTTTAATGCAATAAAAAAGGAGATGTTGTGGTTTATAAATTCTTGATACAAGAACATAATAATGCATATATCATCTAGTCCCTTAAGCCTCTGCGGACTCCATTTTTGCATCTTCATCTACCCCACGAATGTATAAGACATTGTTACATCTATTGATATTGTAAGCTAATTTTTTCTTTATTCTTAATGTTGACTTTTTACCTAATCAGCACTTCACCGAGGGTTCCAACAGAAACACCATTTTGAAATTCTTCTGTGTTTGCGAGCTAAATTGTGTCAAAATACGCGTCAAGCATTTTTTTCTTTTTCTTTACCTGTAAGTTCATGTAATTGTCTACAGATACAAGATAGCCTTGATATTCACCACCCCACTTTAATTTGACAGAAACAGGTTTACCAGTGAGATCACTTAAGAATGGCTTGGGATTAACAGGAACAAACTAGATAATTGTTAATCTATTGTTATACAACTGAGAAAAGAGATGATCACTTACAGACATGGCGGAATGCTGAATTAAAAGAAACAAGAAAAAATGTTTTTAACGCACATTCACCACAAGTACACGAAAAAATATCAGGTTCAATCGCCGTTATTTTTATCAAGATGACGCATGGAAAAATATTCAAGAGGCGATGCGAGAGAAAGCTTTTTTTGATGCTGACCATTACTTGTAAATACTTTACGTATAAAAATTAAAGCTATTACTGATTCATGATAGATCATTGAAGAATAGTCTATTATACAGTGTTGAATCCTTTCTTAAATAATATTGATTAGATGTTTGTGTTACCCAGCATACTTGAAATGCAGCTAGTTACTCTTTAGCTGCAAGTGCATTCAATCAGATGATATTATTTGCTACCATGATGTTAAATATCTTCACTAGTATTTACTAGATGCTAATAGACAAAGTAAGTTTCACTCTAAAGGATAAAAGGGCATGGAGTGAAGCAAACTTAAAAAACATGAAACGCTAAACTTTAAGCACAGATCACCTCTAATTGGCTCATTATCAAAAATAAGTAGAGAGAAAAGGACGATGAGCCTTATCTCTTTTTTTCCTCCTCTTAAATCAGACTCATTTGGATCTGGATCTTCATTTTAGAAATAAGAATTAAACGCCTTACAGCACTTATAATTTACTCCTATTATTGTTTTTACTTTATATTTTCTGCGAGATAACACAAGCTTTCTCCACAAACTTCAATAACTGCAGCCATGCTAAAGGCACCAAAATCGAAATGCAGGCAATGTTTTAAGCGCATTCATTCCACAAGAAATAAAACAGGGGTCTGTCAAGGTTGTAGGAGAATATCAGCGGAGAAACAGCAAGCTTTAGGTACGCATGGTCAAACTGTTAGTCAAAGAAAAAGGTCGCATCATTTTGTACATTCTGTGAGCTGTCAACCATTCAGCTTGGAGGTATTTAATGGTGATAAACGTATAAAGTTTTCAACCACATCTGCTTTGATGATAAACGACTCTGCCCTTAGTCTTAGTTCTTTGATTGATTTCCAAAATAACATCACGTCTGGTATTTTTAACAGAAAAATTTCTTTCTCATCAAATGATAAGATCGAACCAGCATTAAAAGACAGTGTTTGCATCACTACCAAGCTCGAGTTTTGCTATTTACACTGCACATCTGCACAGCATTTTCACAATTAGTGACGTAAGCATTTCAATTTGCACTAGACAAACCACACCCACACAACACTATGTACAACACTGAAATAAAAGAGGTATATATTGATGAGTATGTAATAATTTCTTTCTTATTTTGAGAGAGGATTCGTTATTTATTTTATAAGAAAACAGGATTATTGCATGAATTCATCACAGCCAATGAGAATTGGGCATGACGTGTTTATAAGAGAAACACATTTTGTGGTCACTTTTCTTTTGTTTCTCTTTTTTTTCAAGTAGTATTTTACGACAAGTTGGAGGTTTTATAAGGTAAATACGATAGATATGCTGTTTGCTGTGTAAATTGAATTGCTTACGTCAATAATTGGGAAAATGATGTGCAGGTGTGCAGTGCAAATAGCAAAACCCTAGCTTCCTTCTGCAATGATAGTAGTGGATCAGTCAGTGAAATCGCCAATAAACTAAGCAGTTCGATTTCCACAGCAAATAATATGATTGCAAAAAATGTCAAGAATTTATTACAGTTATACAAGTAGCTAGGCATATTTCAGGAAAATTGTATAATACCCCCATTCTATCATCATACTCACATGGCTACATCTTGTGCGATACCTATGGTATAGGGCTTGAACTATATTTCTTTAGGTTGGTTGAGGTGGATGGTTGCACTTGAAAGCCTTCCTTTGTCATCACGATGTAGTAGATATTTCTATATTGAATATGGTCTACATCAGATCGTGGTCGTGCCATTGTTGCAGTGTAGAGTAGAATGATAGTCTTTTATTGTAAATGTTTCAACGAAATAGCTTCATTGTCGAAATAATTGCTGCGTATATATTGAACTACGATATCAATATCCCATATTTTTAACTTGTGTTCTGCTGGGATCTTGACTTGCTAGTTTCTTTTTGAACTAAAAAAGCCTTGTATCAAAGGCTGTAGAGCTAAAAGTTCTTCGTTTGGATAGATATGTTTGAATAATGAAGCAGTGGTTAATCTTATAGTATTCAAGTGCTGAGCGCCAAAATGTTGGTTATTAATGAGGAATGCTAAAGCGTTCTGAAAACTGTATTCTTCAAAATCGATCTTGTGTTCCTGGCACCAAGTAACCCAAAGACTCCACCCATTATCATAAGCTTTCTTGGTTCCTAATCTCTGTGCTCTATCTACTCTTTTTGGAGCGGCTGTTGTAATATATGGCGATTAAAAGAAATTAGCCGTCATATGAACGTTACGTTTGTTATGAAAAGGGCGTGATTGTATACGACGATATGTATTCAAATGTATCTTCATATGTGAATTTATGATAAATACAATATCAACACATGCTTGATGAAATGTAAAAAAATTGACCAAGTTTGTGAACATTGCGCTTAATGACTTTTTACTCCTTTTCTTTAATCATGCAAAAAGAGGAAAACAGAAGAATCAAAAGCAAGCACTACTAAATTAAGGTGCTCTTGAGATAAGTTTATATATAATCCTATAGTAGCACAGTGCGCTACCTTTTCCTTTCTACATCACATTGCATGAAAATAAAAATAATAAAAATATAATATATAACATCAGTACGGACATGGCGAGTAATTCTTGTTTAATAAAACATTCCAATTGATGTAGATTCGTCAAATGTGACAGACTTTTGATTTGAAGAAAGCGACTTATTGAAGTAACGCCCATCCTTTAAAGTATATGCAACCTTTACAATTCTTTTTTGAAAGATTGCACTTCTTCAACGCATGTTTTACCTATTGGATAACATTAGTAGGCAAGTATAAATAATATGTTCAGAAAGGGATACCGTGTCTTTCAAACCTCATCGTCATATGAGACTTGTTCTCGCGTATTTTGGTCAGCCATTGTCAGATCATGTATCACACTAATTATTGAGGAATCCTGTAGTACATCTTATTTATACCCAAATGCTATCTGAGTGCTATTAGGTGACCACTCATGGCAAAACAACATTATTATTTATTCATTTTTAAAAGTGAAATTGGCACAAATCTATTTACTACAGGCAACAAAGACTGTTTATATATTCCAGTTTGCCCCTGTTTTTCTTACTTTAAAGTGTGTGTTTGACAAAAATAAAATCCAAGACCGTATAAGCCCGGTAGGTAGCAGTTGTACAAGTGAAACCAAGAAAAGGTAAGCTTCTGTTACAAAGGCTTGTAACATTGTCTATGTTTAAATGAGAACTCGTTCTCATAAGCACTAGATAACCTAAATAAAAGAATAATACTTCATCTCTTGCATTATATACTCATATTTGAACTGATATAAGTGTCGGAGACAAACCATGATGCAGATACAGCCTTCGTGTTTAAATGTATTTGACTATCTCGATAAGAATTTTGTAACCTTTTCTTGGTACGTCTTTGAGTGAACAAAGCAACACTGGTGCAACATGTATAAATGATGAGTGGTTTAAAAAGAATGACCTCATTGATAAACGTATTTTTGAAAATGTCTTTTACTTTGAAGGATCCTTTCCTAACAGAGGCATGTTTTGATAATATGTGTCGCCGTTCATAATGTCTGTACTTGCCCCTGCCTCTCTTTTTTCTCTTATCGATACCATCAGAATCGTTTTTTTAAAATGATGTATGCTCAGACATTTGATGCAGTTCCAATATATTAGTGATGCTTTAATATGACACCTGTCATTTTCCAGTCATCATTTCGTTTTGATTAATCAGATAAACCCTACAACGAAGCCCCTGTTTCTAATCCTGTGTTTATATAAAATATTGCCCTCTGGACCCGTATCGATGCAAAAAATTGTCTTTGGACCCGTCTTTTTTTCATTGTTGGTGAATTAAAAGCATCATGTATCATCAATCCTATTTTAAGAACACGCGCAGCTGTCAGCTGGCCACCGTACATAACAGGTTGACTACGTAAGCTATGGTAAAGGACGCCCTTTGTATCAGATTTTATTTTTAGACTCTGTACGTTTCGCAACTTTTGAAAATAACTTTTTTTTTTCACTTACAAAAGCTGAGCAAAGCTCTGAATCACAAAAATTTGTGTAACCTTGTTCTAAAAATACATTAGGTTAGATGCATAGAAAAAGTATATAAATGCCAAGGAAAAAAGCGTATCTTTTTCTTTTTTTTTTTTGTCTTATTAATACACACGCAACAGAAAAGGATGTGGTCTTCTATTAATTATAATACTTCTTTTGAAATGATAAATCATCAGTTGAATGATCTTAATTTTGTAAATACTACTTCTGACAATAATGCCTACCATCAAGACTACATACCTCCTTTGATTGCTCCCTTGGTTCCAAGTATGCCTCAGAACCCATTGCCACAAGTCAATCGTGCAAGTCAAAGATTAAGTTTGGAAATTCAGCCTTGCATTTCAGTTACGGAACCAACACCTATCACTGGTCCTTCCTTGGATGCTGTTGACCAATTCATAGCACAACATAGCGCAGATATGATCATAGAACAACAGCAACAACAACAACCACAGATTCAACCTCAAAACTTTCTTGAAGGGCTTCTTGGTAATCCAGGACAACAAGAAGCAGAATGGTTAAGTTGGACACCTAACATCATGCTTTCTCCTGCCACTTCTGTAAATACCTTGGATGATTTTGATGTCAGCTCATTTCATTCTCTTGATTTATTAAACCAAGTTGTGATACCATCATCACCTTCCTTTGAAGACCACTTGACTGTAAAAAGCATGACAACTTCAACCAAAAAGAATCGTAGATTATCAGAACCACCTACTCCTACTCGCAACTTTGCCTCTGAATCTAATTCATCAGTACGCAGAACTCAAAGTGAAAAGAGATCACGATCCAATTCAGCAAGTCATGGTAGTTTTCCTTGTCTTCATCCTGGATGTGGCAAAGTATTCAATCGCCCATATAATCTGACATCCCATATGCGTACTCATACCTCAGAAAAACCTTACGCTTGCAGTCAATGTGGTCGAAAATTTGCTCGTCAACATGATCGTAATAGACATGAAAAGCTGCATTGGGGAATTAAACCTTTTGCTTGTCAAATCTGTAATAAAGCATTTGCTCGTATGGACGCATTGAATCGACATCTTCGTGTAGAAAATGGATGTGGAAGTCATATGATCAAAATCGAACAACATCAACAAGCTCTATAGAAGATTTAAACTACATATATATTATGTATATGTTTTGCTGATGTGTGTGTATATTTGTATATTTTATCCCCCCTCCATCACTACTATTTATTGCTATTTTATATCTTTGTAAATAAATATCTACACATATTAATATATATTTTATGAATCAACAATAGCTTCCATCAATTCCCTACATTTAGCTAATGTCTTTTTATCTTCATGCATACTGGATGCGGGTATCTAGAAAAGGTGTTTTTGTATATTGCATAATTTAAATAGAGCAAGTCTTACCTCAAGTTCATTTAGTTCTACTATAAAATCAGATAGTAATCGTTTTTCATGATCAATTGCTTCATCTTTGCTTATTTTTCGATCTATATCGTCTAGCACCTCTGTCACTTTTGAAATATACTGTGACACAGTACGCTCTTTAGCCTCTTCCTCTTGGCGTTTATTCTTCATATACTCTTCTTTCTTCTCTATCGCTTCATGACCCATCTCTAATTCTTTCTATAGATAGTTATGAGATATACAGGAAATAGAAGCAAGATAGGACTTACCTTTGCAATTTGCTGAACCTTTGCAAAACGATTATCCATATTATACAACAATTGTTTATATTGTAAATAGTATGCATAAAGGCATCCTAGTTGTATTGTAGAGTCCTCATGATCTGCTACTGCCGAATTTTTGGTAGTTGCAGACAGGGCAGATCCTTCTCTATGACTTGTCTTTAGTCGTTTTTCTTCAGGATGATCAGGCATAGGCGCCCTTCGTTTGTCAACATGCTTTCTTGAAGCTGATTCTGTTGTTCTCAAATATCCTGCCATCTGTTGATGTGAAGATCTCAGAGAAGATAAACTCTCTACATTGTATTACGCGTTTGGTTATTCAACGAATCTCTTTTTTATTTACACAAATACAAACCTCTAGCGTGCCTATCAAGATGTCAGTTAACCATTCCCTTTTTTTAATTCTTTTATTTACTTTTTTTCTTTTCTTTCAATCTCTGCTGCTCTTTCTTTTACACTCACGCTACTTTCTCTTGTATCTATCAAGTTATCGTCGTCCATAACGGAAAAAAAAGAGTAGAATCATGCTCCGCACGAAACTTTTTTACATACAAATTCGACGGGAACACACCCTAGTCACACTCTCCCTTTTCTTTTTCCCCCTTCCCTTTTCAGCTTTGACAGTTTTTTTTTCGAGGGAAATGATGAATAGAGCCATTTCTACAAGATTGCCATTGACTAGCTTTAGTAAGCAATGCTCAAGTAAGAAGAATAAAAGCCTTTGTATACCATATAAATACTAATCTTTTTTGTTTGTTTGTCAGTGCGCCTTGCTTCCACCGCTACTACTACCAAAAAGATCGTTTTACATAATCACCCCTCTACTTCTCTTGCAAGCTTCAACAATAAATTAGCCAAGCTTGTTCGAATGCGTAAAGGCAATGCCAGGAATGTTTTGAGTAAGGTGCTCGAAATCACGAATGAGATCAAGGCTCAAAATCTTTCCTATGATTTAAATACCTACAATGCTCTTTTGGCAGCCTATGCTAGAGCTCATGATAAATCAAAGATTGATAAAACAATCAATCAAATGGAAAAAGAGGGTATCAAGCCTACGACAGATAGTTATAATCTTATTTTGGAGGTAAAAAGGAGAAGAAATAAGACAAGGGGAGGTGGCTGACTTTTATCATCTTAGGCATATGCTAACCATAGAGATGTCGAAGTACAACTTGATTGGAAGAAGGAGATGGAACAAAAGGGAATCGAATTTAATAATATCTCATATTATCATTTGTTAAGAGGACAGCGTAATTACAGACTTGCCTTGGAAACATTTAACGAAATGAAACAACGTGGATTAACCCCTACTTTATCTTCATACACTTTGTTGATTCAAAACTGTCCTACAGAGCAGTCAAAGAAGGCATTTGAGTTATTGAAGGAAGTAGAAGAAAGTGGGATGCCTATTGCAAGTGAGCCATCCTTGTACTTTCATATGATGCGTCTTGCAGCAAGTACATATGAGGTAAATATAGAGAGTAAAGAAGAATATATAGAAAAATAACCTTTTTTTTTTTTTTAAGCTGGATGTTACCAGTTACTGCTGGAAGAAGGCAGTGAACGAACTGTCCTTACGCCCTGACGAGGGTACCTGTATTGGTGTACTTAACGTAGCAGCCAGGAAGGGTGATACATCTCTAGCTACTGATGTCATTCGTCAATTGAGTAAAAATGGATACCCTTACAAGGAACACTACTTTACACCACTCATGGAAGCATTTGTTGTAAAGGACGACTTGAAGAGTGCATTCAACGTCTTGGATATCATGCGTATCTCTGGAGTTCCACCCACAATGAAATCTGTTTATAATCTCCGCAAGAGACTGAGTACTAGTACGGCAATGATTGACAAGGCATACTTTACACTAGAAGAGATGAAAAAGGAAAAGAAGCCTATAGACATTGTTGCCTTCAACGTGGTGGTGGCTGCTTGTGCCGATGCTGGTGATGTCGTGCGTACGATCGGAACTTACCGTGAAGCGGCCAAACTTGGGATAACACCTGACATTGATACATACAACGCAATCTTGGATGTCTGTATTAATGGACGAGTAGAGGATATGGATAACGTGGTGATCACAGAAATGAAGAATGCCAATGTTACTCCTAACGTAGACACATATGTAAAGATGATTGAAATTTGTTCTCGTCGAAAGGACTTTGAGCAAGCATTCCAATATCTTGAACAAATGAAGGATTACAACACACTTCCTCCTGAAAGATGCTATTTTACCTTGGCATATAATTTGTCAAACAGAAATGATCCTAGATATCATCTTGTGTTGGAAGAGATGGAAACCCTTGGCTACGATGCCACCAAGGTTAAACGATTCATGACTAAAGACTCAGAGGAAAGACAGAATAGAGAGGGAAGATACAACAAAGAGGGAAGATATATCAGAGAGAGTAAATAGAATAAAATACATATGTAATTATGCATAGACTTTTAGAATTGACCAATCAAGATAAATCTTGTGAACAAAGTTTACATTAGCTCCTAAAACAGGCTCTTTTTTTATTTTGGTTTTGTTCTTTCTTTTATGCAACACATAACTCATCTTTGCTTTTTATTATTTTTTATCTTGCAATTTTCATCTTTTATGGCACAAAAGCTATTATATGAGCCTGATGCTCCAGACTATAAAGCAGGTAGCACTAGTCAGTCATTATTTGACAAGCTTGCTCCCGATCCATCTTTATCTACCTTTATGGACGTCTTGACTCAAGTGGATGATATCTTCAACATGATCAATCATACCGACAGCGATAGTAATCAAGTGTTCACCGTCTTTTGTCCAGTGAATACTGCTTTCAGAAATGAGCTTGACATCTATACCCGTAATCACCTTCAAGACTTTTTACGCAATCATATTGTACCTAATAGTAAAGTGGACCCTGACATGCTAGCTAAAACGGACGAATTGAATACTTTACTTGAAGGACAAACCATAACTGTGAAGCATCACTTCTTTTCTCAAAAGACTGTACTCAATGATCATGCTCTTGTTGACACAAGTCACGCTGTAGAAGCCATCAATGGAATTGCCTATAAAATCGATCATTTGTTACGACCTACAGTTGCCAAGATTCAATAAACTTGACTTTTCTTAATTTCAAATGATGTACAGTAAATATGAGCTCTAAACAGTTTTATTTCGATTGTCTCTCTCTCTCTCTTTTTTTTATTTGTGTAGTCTTCTCCTTTACCGCCAGTAATTCAAGCTGATCTACTGCAAATACAAAATGTAGAAAAACCTATTTATAAACGAACCTTGGC